AACAAATTATTTATTCAGTTTAACGGTTTCATACAGGTGAGTGCCACTGTTGTTACGACATTAGTACCAGTGAAATATAGGCCTAAGTAATAACAGGTAATTATGGTTTTAACAATCAGTCGGTCAGTTTGATAACGAGGATATAAAAGTACCACACAGTTAATACCGCAGTCATTACAATAAAATGTTTAAAACAGTCCAAACCTCTTCCTTGCGTAACTCTCCCATAGCTTATTCATAACGACTATTGTCCAGTGAAGGTTGTGAAGTGTTTAATGTAGTAAAATACTAAAGACTTGTTAAAACAAAGCAGTTGTACATAACTGAAGACTTATCAGTATACGAAAAACCATACATTTAAAATCAGTCTTGATTGAATTTCAGGCCTTGTGCCACACTGTGTTTATGCCACATTTATAGTGGGACAAAAACAGGACCAGAATGAACCAGACACCTGTTTTTAGGTCTTAACTTTTCACATCAGCACAAAACAGCCATAAACAAATAAATATAACTCCTGTGGATTTAGCGCAATGAAAAATACAACCTTCACAGAAGGCGTTAACATCCTTGACCTGTTCTGCTGCATTCTACTGAGACCTGTCTGAGCAGCCAGAACCACTCTGCATAACATGTTCATGTGTTTGAAGTACGTGAGGCTCTGGATCTCTGCCCACACAGGACACAGACACACTTTAGTTTAGCTCAGAGGCGTACACAGACACGCTCGTCTGCTTCTCACACTTGGCTGCCATTTTTCATCTGTGTTCATCCCCACATCTGGACTCAGCGACCAGAGATTGAACCAGACTTTTATCAAGATCTGACATCGACACGAGCCGTCTACTATAACGAATGTAGAAGCACAAAATGTATTCATAATATAATACTCAGATAATCACGTGTTACTGCAATGAACTAGTGTTGTATTAAAGCAGCTGTCGGACAAACGGCTGTATGAGGTTCAAATGCAGCTGTTTTAATTCCAGCACAAGTCCTTTTTTCTGCAATGATAATAAATATGATAACCCTAACACCAGAAGTTGCGTGTCAAATACAATATAAACTTATTTAATTGAACTGTTTATACACTAACAATAATAATTCAGAGACCATAACAGTGATTTTGACACTTGGTTGTTTTGACTGTGATATAATACTTTGTTAATATACTCTATAATATTCTAATCAAACCAATTACAGCTGTAGGATTCATCTTGTATTCAGTGTTTTTCAGTCAACGTCACTTTGTTGTTGCTCACAAAACTAAAGCCACAGTGAATAAAGAGTGAAAGAGACAAAATGAGGGTTTCATCTACTGAATCTGGAATGACACTTGAAACTCACACTGAGATATAGTATTTGGTTTCTTTTCCAAACGCACATTCAGACTGAGGTCCACTTTGATGAGGCCACTGTTCCGAGCTGAGGTTTCTTCATAAAGTTTGTGGGTATTAGGTTCAGCACAGACACTTCACGACAACCAAACAGATCTAAAATCACTGTAGTATTATTTGCATACAACATCTCACTACATAAAGTGCCAATGAGGAAAGAAAGTGCATGTGACAGGTTTTGCACAATTTCACTTAAAAACAAGTCTTGTCAAGTATTGGTTTTTGGATGAAACAGAACTAGTGACAGAGCCAAACTAGATTTCATGACTTAGTTTCATATTTCATGGTTTGAAAGTTTTCAATTCCAGCTTTAAGTCCCATGTGAAGAATGAACAGGAGCCATGACCCGTAATCCACAACTCTTCCTCATCACCACCTGGAACACACTTTTTTTCTTAGTTTGTATGTTTGGCAATTCCTATTTCAAGACCGCCAATACAAGTGAAACTCGTAAAATTAGAATATTGGTCATAAGTTAATTTATTTCTAAATTCAACTTTAAAATGTGAAACTAACACATGATACAGATTCAAGATACAAAGGTTTATTATAATGACGGCTCACAGGCCCCCATTAGGATTCATTTATCTGACTGCCACAGTGAAGGAAGTGTGTGGATAGGGAAGTCCGGGTGTCTGCTTGGTCCTGGTCCACGTTCTGTAGCTTAGGTCCTGGATCATTAGCCCGTCCGTCCGTGAGGAGCGGATCCCTCTCTCAGTATGTGGGTCTCCTTGAGGTTTTTTCCCCACTGGGTTTTTCTTCCTTTCCGATGCATGAGGCTCTGTTGGGCAGTTATTGTCCAACAGAAAGTACGGTGGTGATGATCCAGGACACTTTAACATTCTACAACATGTATGACATTTATCAACATGTGTTCTATATTCTTTTTGTGTCTTAACTGTTGATTCTCTGATCTGTGTTGGTGATTTCAATGGTTTTGTTAAGTCCTCTGAGATGACTTCTGTTGTGATTTAGGGCTATACAAGAAGCAGCAGTAGCTCAGTTGGTAGAGCATTGGTCTTTAGGCCTAAAGGTTGTGGGTTCGAGTCCACCACAAGACCTACTTCACGACTCTCACTCTCACTGCTGTCGTTATATCCTTGGGCAAGACACTTAATCCCACTTTGCCTGAAGCCTGCACTGAAAGATCAAGGCTCCTGTGGACTCACCAGCTGCAGGAGGATCAGAGAGGGGCTGGTGCTGCTACGCCCCCGACCCAGAAATGGAATAAGGGGAAGAAAATGGATGGACGGATCTCGCTGTGTGTAATCACGAGTCTGTATCATGTATTAGTTTCACATTGTACGCTGAATTACAAAAGGAAAGGGACTTTTGAATATACATTTATAAGTTTCCCCTGAATATAAAATCAGTTTTACTATCAGCTGTTACTTTCATGTTATATACAACAATTCTTCATTTCTTCTTATGTACATATTTAGTGAAATAATAATTTTAATCTGATTCTGTATTTGGCGCTCTCCCTCTGACCCTAACCCTAACACAGTGATGCATTACGTGAAACCTATCACATGCACTTTGTTGAGGCCGACTGCACTTTGTAAGTTTTGAGCAAATGTCAAAGCCGAGGAATCAGTGTTGGGGAAAGAGAGGCACCCGTTTCTCTGCCATTTTGGTTTTCAAGTCACGCTACTTTGATCCACTTCGCACACGTCCTCCTCACACGTGCTCCGGCCCATCGCCAAACCCTCAAACCCACCGTGACCCTGCCCCACGCTCCCCATGCTTCCGCTGAGGCCGTGCGCTGCTCTGCCCCCCGACTCGGTCAGCGCCAGATGCGACGCGGCCATCATGAGTTCAGGGCCATCTTCAGAGAGCCTTCGCACCGCCTCGCCCTCCCCCGCCTCGCCCCTGCGCTCACAGTGGCCGCGGTGCCTCATGAAGCTGTCCCGCCACATGAACTTCTTGCCGCAGCCGGAGCAGTCGTAGGGCTTGAGTCCGGTGTGCGTCTTCATGTGCTCCGTGAGGTGGTGCTTCATCTTGAACTTCTTGGAGCAGACGGGGCAGTGGAACGGCCGCAGGTCCAGGTGCATGTTGATGTGGCGGTCGCGCATGCTCTTGTGGGTGAAGGTTTTGCCGCAGTGACACATGAAGACTTTACCAGACGATGCGCCGCTGTTGCAGCCGCCGTCTGCGCCGTCCTGAAGAGCGAGCTGCGCCGCACCGTGCTCAGAGGACTTAAAGCACGGGATCATTCCACCAGGCATCCCGAGAGTCGGCCTGCCACCAAAACACATAAGAGAAGATGTAAACATAGGGCTGGGAATTGGCAAAAAAGCAACAAAACCAAAAATAATGCGATATTTGGGCCATAATTCAATGTTTTTGCGATTCTCAACATATTGTGATACAGACAGTATTGTGGTCCATGTCTTCGTATTATTCAAAGACATTACAAACATGGAGGTAAATAAGACTCAACTCTCAAATGTCACAAAAAGTGCAATTATAGCTCCAGAGATCGTTTATTATTGTATTATTCTACTCTATTATCTATTATCTTAAATAATAGCTCCTGTTTGAAGCTAAACTAGAAAGTAAGACACTCACCCCAGAGCGGGCGCTGCAGAGTCCATGGAGAGTCCTGAGGCCTGGCTGTAGAGCAGCAGCTGGTTCCCCTGCATGTCCAGGGGGAAGAGGGCGCGGGCCGAGGCCGCGGACTGCAGCAGCGCCGACACGGTGCGGTTAGAGCTCTGCGCCGGGGTGCTGTCATGCATCTGTGCCAGCGACTGGTCCATCAGGCTGCCCTCAAACTTCAGGTAGTCCTCCGGGGTCGGGCAGTAGTCCGCCTAACCACACCACAAAGGAATCAGTGAGAAGTGACAAACATGTCTCCTGAAAGGCTCATCTTATAGTCCCATTATAAAAGACCGAGTTATTTTCTAACGATAGATCAGTAACGCAAAAAAGGTCTTCCCATCTCATGATCCATTTCATGAGTTTCCCTTCTTTTCATGACTATTGACTGTACTGTGTAAGGGCTATTTGTCCAATAAGGAGAGTGATTGGTTCTGAGTCCACAGTCACCGGACCTGAACCCAATTGAAGGCGAAAGGGCCAACAAGTGCTATGCATCTCTGAGAACTCCTTCAAGACTGTTGGAAGACCATTTCATGTTGCTCCCTCTTGAAGCTCATTAAGAGAATGCAAAGAGTGTAAGAAGCAGTAATCAGAGGAAAATGTGCTACTTTGAAGAACCTAGAATATAAGACATACTGTATTTTCAGTTGTTTTAAACTTTTTTTGTACGCACATAATTCCACATGAGTTATTTCATAGTTTTGATGCCTTCAGTGTGAATCTACAATTTTCATAATCGTGAAAAAAAAAAACTGAGTGTGTCCAAACTTTTGGTCTGTACTGTATACATACATAAACGCATGTATTCATATATATTCATTACACATATACATATATACATCCTAAAAGCCTCCTATGGACAAGTGTTGACAATCAGCATGATCTTGCTATAATGCTACTTTCATTGAGATTTCGCATTCTAAAACTTCTCAAATCCAAGTTGATATTGTCAAGATCACGTTCAAAGTCCAAAATGAACAGAATTAATGCATAATTCTCATTGTTTGAAAGGGCTGTGACTGTGACCTGTGACTCTGAGTCATGTTCGCTTCTGTTGCCGAGCTCCGCAGACAGAGTTCGCACGTTGGAGATGTTGAAGTCGTTCTTTTCCCTCGACAGCTCGGCCTCAGCCTCTTCCTCCTCCTCTTCATCGTCTCCCGCCTCCTCCCCTGACACCACGATGAGGTCGTCGTCTGTGCGCTCCGTCTTCACCACCACCCACTGTTTCCGAGGCATGATGCTGGGCTGCGAGTACGTGGGCCGCTTCTGCTCCTCTCCGTCCTGAAACAGACCACAGCTCAGGATCCCTCCACAGACATTCACACAAAGGACTTTCTCTTTCTTTCATCTATAAATACATTCCATTTTTACTTTCCTCACAGACACTCCTTACCCGATGACTCTCTTAAACCCGATGACTCTCTTGTAAGAGAGGTCCCCGAGAGCCATTATATGAGGCTGTGGGCTGAGAGCTGATTGGCTGAGTGAGGGTGGTCTTCTCTTTTGAACTTATCTATCTTGGAAAGCTGATCCAAACATACACGCCCTTGATAGAAGCAAACCGTTTTGGGAGCAGGAACTATATTTCAATTCTATTCAATGTATTTGAATAGAATTCACAACAGCAGAGTTGTCAATTCACCAACAACAGATCAGAGAATCAAACCATTCTTAGATGGATTTACAACAAACATAGTTTCAAATAGTGTGGTTTGAAACTTAGGAACCCCAGCTTTACAATCCCACAAGTAAGACTGAAATAAAAATAGTAGTTTACTCTTGATATTTTTTTGTTTCACTTGTGTGAGCATGCTTGTAACTACACAAAGCTGACTCATACATTAAGCAGGGCCTCCTCGTTCAAAGGAAATGCATGTTGTTATAAACCATATCGTTCTCAAAGAAGAATGTTCTATGGCCTTTTGCAGCTGATGTATGACCTCCATAAGTTACTTTCAATAATGATGATGATGTTTGGCTTTGAAAACTGCCAAACTCAAAATCAGTCGCGGTCAGGTCTAAACTATAAACAAGGTATAACGTGGGGCTAAACCTGAGAAGGTAGTTCTGCCACACATTGTGAGAAACACTGTTCTATTCTATATGAGCACAATTACCTGATATGACGAGACACCGAAACTATCGCTGACCCCAACTTCCTGTTCCGACATAGAGTTGGCTTTCTTCCTGCGCGCGCTGCCTCCGACTCTGGGCCTCTTCCTTTGGTGATACAGGATCTCCTCTTCCTCCTCCTCATCTTCTTCTTCGATGAGAAATGCGTCTTCTCCTCCGGACGCTGTGCAGTAGCTGGGAGTGTGGCTGGAGCCTGGCGTGGCGCTCATTGCCGCCACGTTGCCCCCAAAGCCGCTGCCGTCCCGGGGGCTGAAGTAGTTGGTGCTGCTGGGAGACTGGCTTTCGCTCAGAGATGGGTGACTGCACAGGTTTGTCCGCTGGAAATTATCTGAGGCTCCTGGCTCTGCCCCTGCCCCGCTCACAGCCCGCAGGCTCCCGTTGCTGCTGCTACATCCTGGGTTCGCAAGCACTCTAGCGTCTTCGTTTGGGGCCGAGCCAGCTCCAGCGGCCCGGCCCTCCTTCAGCAGCTCTGTGCACTTGTCCACGATGTGCCACATCTGCAGGACGCTGCCCACCGTGAGGTAGTTGACGATGTCGTCGCGGAGCATGCGGAGCTGCCCCGTGTAGGCACAGCTCAGGACGCTCTCAAAGGCCAGAGGGTCCATCACCGCCGGGATGGAGACCGTCGACATGTTTTTCAGAAGCACCTGGACGACACAGGGAACCAGACAGTCACCAGCAATCACAGTCTCATTGAAGTACGATTTTACTAAAGAAATCAGACCATGAAAAAACGGTATGACTTTCAACAGGTGTAATGATTGATCAAAATGAGAATCCATAAACATGTATATTAAAACAAGCACTCATTTTGTTATAACTCGTCTATAAGATGTTCTTAAGTTACATATTTTTTACTTTGTTTTTGTTAATCTATTTAAAAAATCTTCTATCGATTAGTTTGGATCCTGAAATAATTGATACAACTTGATAAAACTAACAGATTATCAAAGAAATCCCTACAGCCCTGTTGTAATTATGACCATTCGCAGTGGACTCACCTGATCGTGGAAGTATGGCGAGGAGGCGGCCAACACGCAGCGATGGGCCTTGAACACGTGGTCTTGGACGTGGATGGAGAGGTCACACAGCTGCCCCTGCTCCCGCTGATGGTTCAGACTGTCCAGGACTGAAGTCTGGACCGCAGGGAAGCTCACCTGGACCACAGGACCAGAGGCCAGACCACTGCTGCTGCCCACCTCCATGAGCGCTGCACACAAACACCATATGAATATGTTCTATCCCCCCCACACTCTGACACGCTCCGCTCTGACACGCTACATTGGACGAGGCTGGTCAGAGTAATGTCCTATCAAAAAGATCCACCTGTTTTCCGCATGTACTGTGTCTCTCCAAACAATGTTTGTCTGAAGTATGTTTGTTTTTCTCTCTGCTGTTGAATAACTGTCATAAGGAGCGCGATGTACTACGCAGCCAGAGATGTTTAATTAATGAACTGATTTTCTCCATTGTGAGATAATAAAGTATATCTCACTTCCTGAGGACCATGTGAATACCACAGCGATACTGTATAAGGCCTTAATATTATCCTGTATCATGCACATAGTAGTAGTAGTAGTAAGTAATCTTTATTTATATACCGCCTTTTCACTGCACATCGGAGTCTCAAAGCGGTTTACAATTGTGATTTTTGGGATTGGGGGTGCCAGTACAGGAGGCACATACAGTTCTATGTTGTGATATGATATTGTTAATTTAGGGGAATACAAGTCATAATTGAAAATGTTATAATGTGAAATAAAAAAAACAAGTTGGTACCATGTTAATCTATTTTGGAAATATTCTGGTCCTGCATTCATTTCAATACAGATCTGATTGGAGATCAGATATTCACCCTGAAAAGAATTCATAGATATGTGACTCAAGTACGGTGTCCACTCTGTAGACAAACATGACGAGAGAGAGATCACATTAATCCTCAGTATCAGACACAGCACCTGTGCGTGTTTATGTGTTTGTATATAAAACAGATGTTCAGTCTCCAGCACATCTGCAGCCACACATTCATTTTTACATGATTTGACAGAAGTCATTTGGGAAATGAGTCTTTGTCTCGTCCGCAAGGCATCGCACATATTTATTCTAAAACCTGATCAGCAACTGGTCCAAAACAAGTTGCATCATGTGTTTGAAGAAAGCACAGACACAAACAAAGCTGGTAAAGCAGGAGAAACTAGTTTAGAGGCAGATGACGCTGATGAATGTGGACATTCCTGACAGTGGACTACAGATGTGTGTTAGCTTAGCCTGTTAGCTCTGACAGTGGACTACAGATGTGTGTTAGCTTAGCCTGTTAGCTCTGACAGTGGACTACAGATGTGTGTTAGCTTAGCCTGTTAGCTCTGACAGTGGACTACAGATGTGTGTTAGCTTAGCCTGTTAGCTCTGACAGTGGACTACAGATGTGTGTTAGCTTAGCCTGTTAGCTCTGACAGTGGACTACAGATGAGTGTTAGCTTAGCCTGTTAGCTCTGACAATGGACTACAGATGTGTGTTAGCTTAGCCTGTTAGCTCAGATGTGTTTCTAAAAATACAAACACATGCAGACATGAAACCTACCGCTTTAATCAACGGCACAACGGCTAAAAGACGCGCACATCGAGGCCTGTGGCAGACTGCGCTGTCAGTGGAAACTGGCGCTGAAATCTGCGCTTCATCTTTGGACAAATCGGTTTCAATCAAAAGCCGCAACTGCAGACGGACACGTCCCCTTTAAGCACACTTCAGACCCCAGACTGAGCCGACACAAACCCACTGTGTAGGATCTCAGGACTCACTCATGTCAATATAAGCTATATGTACAGTGCCTTGCGAAAGTATTCGGCCCCCTTGAACCTTTCAACATTTCGCCATATTTCAAGCTTCAAACATAAAGATATAATTTTTTTATTTTTTGTCATGAATCAACAACAAGTGGGACACAATTGTGAAGTGGAATGATATTTGTTGGATAATTTAAACATTTTTAACAAATAAAACACTGAAAAGTGGGGCGTGCAATATTATTCGGCCCCTTTACTTTCAGTGCAGCAAACTCACTCCAGAAGTTCTGTGAGGATCTTTGAATGATCCAATGTTGTCCTAAATGACTGATGATGATAAATAGAATGCACCTGTAATCAAGTCTCCGTATAAATGCACCTGCTCTTTGATAGTCTCCAGGTTCTGTTTAAAGCGCAGAGAGAACCATGAAGACAAAGGAACACACCAGGCAGGTCCGAGATACTGTTGTGAAGTTTAAAGCCGGATTTGGATACAACAAGATTTCCCAAGCTTTAAACATCTCAAGGAGCACTGTGCAAGCAATTATATTGAAATGGAAGGAGTATCAGACCACTGCAAATCTACCAAGACCCGGCCGTCCCTCCAAACTTTCATCTCAAACAAGGAGAAGACTGATCAGAGATGCAGACAAGAGGCCCATGATCACTCTGGATGAACTGCAGATAACTTCAGCTGAGGTGGGGATGGTGTGTTCAGGGTGATGAGCTGTGTTGCTTTTACGCCAAACATATCGTTTTGCATTGTGGCCAAAAAGTTCGATTTTGGTTTCATCTGACCAGAGCACCTTCTTCCACATGTTTGGTGTGTCTCCCAGGTGGCTTGTAGGAAACTTTAAGAGACTTTTTATGGATATCTTTGAGAAATGGCCACTCTTCCATAAAGGCCAGATTTGTGCAGTGCACGACTGATTGTTGTCCTATGGACAGACTCTCCCACCTCCGCTGTAGTTATCTGCAGTTCATCCAGAGCGATCATGGGCCTCTTGGCTGCATCTCTGATCAGTCTTCTCCTTGTTTGAGATGAAAGTTTGGAGGGACGGCCGGGTCTTGGTAGATTTGCAGTGGTCTGATACTCCTTCCATTTCAATATAATTGCTTGCACAGTGCTCCTTGAGATGTTTAAAGCTTGGGAAATCTTTTTGTATCCAAATCCGGCTTTAAACTTCACAACAGTATCTCGGACCTGCCTGGTGTGTTCCTTTGTCTTCATGGTTCTCTCTGCACTTTAAACAGAACCCTGAGACTATCAAAGAGCAGGTGCATTTATACGGAGACTTGATTACACACAGGTGCATTCTATTTATCATCATCAGTCATTTAGGACAACATTGGATCATTCAAAGATCCTCACAGAACTTCTGGAGTGAGTTTGCTGCACTGAAAGTAAAGGGGCCGAATAATATTGCACGCCCCACTTCAGTTTATTTGTTAAAGTTTAAATTATCCAATAAATTTCGTTCCACTTCACGATTGTGTCTCACTTGATTCATGACAAAAAAATTTAAATTGTATATCTTTGTTTGAAGACTGAAAGGTTCAAGGGGGCCGAATACTTTCGCAAGGCACTGTATATACATGTATAGTACATACATTACATTCAGTAATACCTGAATATGACTAGTAATATGCAGGTATAATATACAGCACACAGCCAAATTTAGGTTAGTAAAAATACACTCAATATTTTATATATGTCATAAAAACAACAATTTCAATCGTTTTATTCAATTAAATTAACCCAATAACCTAAAATATTCCAAAATGATTTAAAATTGGGAGTAAAAAGAAAACAAAAATATACGGTTTACAGCGTAAAACTTTTACATGCTTGAATCAAAAATAAAAGTAGCACTAGATTATAAATACAAGATTAAAATGGAAAACACTTGTTGCTCCTGAATGTACAAAAAAAGGAACGGCTTTGGTTCAGTGCCCAAACAGGTGAGCTCCAGGTAAAAATAAACTTCCACATTCTCGCTTTACTTTTTGTTGGCACTGGCTGTCCCAATGACGCAGTCGTTCACCTGAAAACCAAATGCTCCGTTAATCAAACAGCTCCAACCGGATCTGTCGTTACTGTGACACACTCACTTTACTGGCAAAACGAAGGGAGTTCAGCGTCTCCCCGAAACTGTCCGACTCCGGGGCAATGTTGACAAACATCAGACTGTGACAAATGACAAAAGCACTTTTTAGATGCTTGAACTTTGACAGAGAATGGAACATGAAGATTCTCACGTTTTACTGTTTCCTCCCAGACAGTTCTGCAGGAGATAGGTCAGTTTGGAATTCCTGTACGGAATAAAGCTCTCCTGAAAGAAAAAAGATCCAAATGAGTAGAATGTTTTGGTAAATATTCAGTTCAGTGCCACAACATGAACCTTGTTGGCCAGAGCAGATATGACGATGCCCAAGTTGGACAAGGAGCCGTTTATTGCCGTCATCTCTTTGAACCGGTCGCCTGTCGATTGGCTTTTCACCAGCCGCTCGCTCCCAGCCAGATCCACCAGGCACAGAGCAGCTGAAACAGGTTATCAGAGACAGTTACCAACATGGCAATAAGTTTGTGTAAGCTCTAAGTCGTACAGGGTCAAAAGCAATGTGGTGTATTCAAATTAAATGTAGTGAAGAGGAGTGCACTGACCACTATATTGGAAAAACTAAAACTACATAAACTGCTTTACCAACATCGTAGAGAAACTACAGAGGTTAAAATTCTGGCTCGAGACAAAAATCGGTTTGAGAGAGGGGTGAAAGAAGCCATTTCTGTGAGGAAACACAAACCATCTCCTTACAGAGGAGGCGGGTTAATATTTGTTTTGCCTCGCATCTATGACGACGTCCTAAAAACAACGCCCTAACTATAGAGAAGGTCAGTGATGTGCGAATGAGTTCGGAGTGGTTAGACCTGCACTCCACTCGAGCAATCTCAGCAGACAATAGGTCTGTGACATGCTAATGAGTTAGGATCGTTAGACCTGCTCCCTACTACATCTTAGAGGTGTTTCTGAGTTAACCTCAGGATTAGGGCGTGTCTAACCACGCCCATAGGTTATAAATCAACGCGCGGCCTGAGATTTCATTCCCTTGAAAAAGTTCTTTGGACTAAGGACGAAACGTTAGGAAAACCTGCTAAGAAGTACAGATTATGGGTGAGAAACCTTCCTTTGCTTCAACATGGCAATGTTAAAGCATAAACTCTCACTCTCCATGCTTACATTTGCATCTCACATCCCTCCCGGCGTTCACTCCTTTGATGTCAAGCCTGAAGACGGAGTGAGAGCGAGAAGAGCGGTCATTCTGTGCTGTGTGTGCCGTAGAGCGATTGCGATTCGCCAAAGCGATCAAACCAAGGACCTGTTAAAAAGACAGGAGTCAGAAGGCTGCCCTCGTCAGACCACCGTGCCCTGGACACACACCTGATCTTCACACGAAACCTCCTCGTATGTAAGGTTGGTAACTGTCAGATCGTTGGCGCTGGATTTGCGGATCTCGTGCTCTGGTCTTTTGTCAGCTTTGCCCTTGTAGAGGAGGTCCCTCAGGGTTTCGTTGTAGATCTCCACAAAGCTTGCTGTGAAGGAAAACTGGGAAGTAGAGAAAAGGCTAAGTTTTAATAGCAATAATAATACTAATTAAAATGATAATCCATATCTTAATTACAGGGCAGCTCAATGTCTAAAAAGCAGATTTTTTTCTTAATAAACAATAATAATAATAATAAAAAAAGACTTAAAATATTCAATAGTAAGTAAGTAAGTAAGTAAGCTTTATTTATATACCGCCTTTCACAGACCAGAGTCACAAAGCGGTTTACAATTGTTATTTTTTGGGCACTTGTCCTCTCACTCCACACAGAGATGGGAGCGGGGTCGCCGAACAGGAGGCGCATGCCAGACCTATTGTACATATTTTTAGTGGTAGGGGAAACCGGAGTACCCGGAGGAAACCTACGCAGACACGGGGAGAACATGCAAACTCCACTCAGAAAGGCCCTGGTCCGGCCGGGATTCGAACCCAGAACCTTCTTGCTGAGAGGCGAGAGTGCTATCCACTCAGCCACCGTGCCGCCCGATAGTTAATAGTTATAGCTCAATAGTTAATACAGTAGTTTGTTTATGTTCTAGAGCAGGGGTTAAAGCTGCACTAACTGATTTTGAGACAGTAACGAAGACACTGGAAGCTTCAGGTTAGCCTTTGCCTCTTGTTGTGCTAACTCAGCTGTCTGTGCTAACGAGACCTGTGGCTCTTCTCAAGTGAGCGGGGGCCAGTGGTCCGCTGTGATTGGTCACAATCTGAGACCTGAACCACATTCTTTTCCTTGTTTCATGAAAACTCGATCTAAAATATAATGTCACGCCAGCACAAATCTGCACTACTTATTCTTGAAAAGGACGTATATACCAATGCACTGCATGGATATGGATCTCATTTTTGTAATGAATACAAAAATGAAGTCAGTCAGTGCCGCTTTAACTCGGTCTTAAAAATGAAAATGCAGCAGGTTTTCATTCCAAATAAGGAGGAGCACACCAGACTCCACCCACTTCCTCAATAGAGCCCCGTCTGAACCTGATGTCTTGAAGAAATGGTTGGAGACCTGTGTGTCTTAGGTGAGTAAGTCAGTGCTGACCTCCCAGCCTTGTGTGGAGAGTTTGTCCGATGCCTTAAAGATCTGCTGCACTGCTCTGGGAATGACACCTCTAGAGTCATGGCACTCCTCTCCTTCCATGGTGTAGGTTTTGCCACTTCCCGTTTGCCCGTAAGCAAAGCAGCACACATTGTAGCCGTCCAGGGCGGACTGCACCAGGAGAGAAATTTCCTCGAACACCTGAAAGGAAACGGAGAGAGTCAAAAACAACAAAAACAAACATTATTCAAAATCGATATACACTGGCTCTGATTTACCTCCTGCTGTGAGGCCAGAGGGCCAAACACCCGGTCGTAACTAAAATTGTAATTCCTCTGTGTGTCAGTGACTTTGCCGGTGTGAGACTGGTAAAAATTGTCAGACTTTAGTAACAGAAAGTGCAAATGAAACAAAAATCCTAAAAGATCTTTTTACCTCTTCAGTTTTTGCCAGACTGATGGAAGTCTTGTCATCAGACGCAAGATGTATGTGCTTGCTCAGACTGCCATCAGGCAGAGGGCGGACTCTGCAGAATACTCTGATGTTACCCTGTGGGGAAATCACAAAAGTGTATTTTTCAATTTCAAGGCCATAAAACCAATAAAGGGGCTGCCAGTGATTCAAGTATATGGGATGGTCACAGAATTTAAATGTGTATCAAAACTAAAACTAAAATAAGTAACTGTATGGTGGGAGTTTCAGGTTTAATCCAGGGTTCTGCTGTTTCTGGAGTGTTACTTGCCTTCAGCTCCTGGATTGTATTGTGGAGCTTGCGTCGTTCCATTTCTCCGGAGTAAAGTTCTTCCTTCTGCTCGGACACAGTCTCTTTTAGGGTCCGAACTTCCTCCTCCGCTACTGCGAGGTTCTGCTGTAGTCTGGCCAGAGTCGAATCCTGGACGGAGAGCTTCAACTGAGGAAAACACACAAGTGAAAAACATTAAAATCCACGTTCATCCTCATTTCCAGCCCGGGTGAAAAAAGCTTCGGACACCACCACTGTCAGACGTACTTTAAGAGTCTGAAGCTCGGCCTCTTGGCTTTCGCGAAGTGTCTCTGTGATTTTATATTTCTCTGCCAAGTGACTCAGATTCGTCTGCAGTGTGCTTCTTTCAGTCGTCACTTGTTCGAGTTCCTCCTGAAGTTTTTCTCTGACTCCGTAAACACCTTCTAGTTCTTTTTGAAACTCACTGAAAACCAAGACGAGAAATAGCAGTCACTCATTGAGAAATGTGGAATATTCTACATGTTGGTAGAAATGTCACCTGTTTTGTTTCCTCAAAGTCTCCAATTCCTTTTCCATCTGATTTACCCTCTGTCGTGTGATGGCCACCGATCCTTTCAATTCTTCATTCTCCTGATTCACCGATTTTACTTTTGTTTGATAGTTGTTGAGTTTATGCTCCATATCAGCCACTCTTCCCTTAAGATCCCAGGCCGCTCGTTTTGGGCCTCCAGCTGTGAATAGGATGAGTTGTGAGGATTCTGAGACAGAGACAATTATGGCATAAATAAAACAGTCAGCTCCCTACCGGCCTTGGCTCCAGTTGATGCTTTAACATTAGTGCCCTTTGGCGCCATCGAAGCTGCTGATGGCCTTAAAGCTCCTGTGGAAAAAAACACAACTGCTGATGAGAGCTGATTAGACCCCTTTAAGTACAATTAAACTGGAAGACACAGTATATAAGAAATGTACCTCTAGATGGTCCAGCGGCCACAGTCGCAGCCCCTGTACTTCTCAGAGGTTTTGCTGTTTGAACAAAAATAAAATTAGGAATTCCTGAAATAAAAAGATGAGTTAAGAACAAAACAATAACTTACAAACATTGGGTCTTGTGGAGGGAACAGGCCTTCCCCCCATAATGACCGTTGCTGCAGCCTGGGGTTTAGAGGGTGCACCATCGTTACGAGTTCTTTTCTATTGTAAAACAAAAAAGTCACAAAGGAATGCAAAAAAACCACCATAGATGTGTTGTGTCAACTCTTCAGTTCCATATTACACAAACCTGAGGTGGTGCATGGTCCTGGACATTGTCAGAGGCGCTGCTGCTGCCAAGGACCCTTTTATTTGACATTACTGGTAGACGGGACATTCTGCAGAATAAAAAACACCAGTAAGAACACGAAGGGCTTAAGGCTAAAAGCATGGGTAAAAGCTGGTTTAGCCAATTTTAGAGTTGTGTTAATAGTCAATGTATTGTTAGTGAAATTAAATGAAAAGTGATTAAAAAATACCAAAACAATGAAGTCATTTGCAAACACATCAATGAAACTTGGCTCTAGTTTCCATTTGTTCATTCAAACCCAACATCAAGAACACGTCTACACATGTCCCACGCATTCAACCATTCGATGCAGAGGAGCAGCAACTCTACTCAGAGCTCCTCAATAACGGCCATTCACTCACTTCCGCAAACCGAGGGAAGGGAAAGAACGTAGACTGACATATCATTTATAACATTTGAATGAAAATATATAAATTTAAATTCACAATTAATACACATTATTAACATTTCACAGCATTAAAGTGAGAGGATCAGAAACATTCCATTCAACGATTTGCATGGAATCTTCTGTAAAACTCTTATCACCGCGAAAAGTGACGGGCCCGCCACCAAATAGCTAACTGTTGCTGTGGATTGCTAAAAGTCAGTCCAGATGAAAACACCGAAAACCCAAGATCCAGTTTAACTCCCGTAGATGATCACAAGGTTGAAACATCCAACCAGAAATGTTAATGGCCTAGCAAGCCACCAGTTTACAAGCCCAGAGAAAAACATACCACTTTGTTCACAATCCTGGTGCTATAATGGTCCTCTTCCCTTTTCCTAGAATCGAGCAGTTGTTTTAACTAATACTGGTGAATCATGAACATGTTATAAAGTGGATACAAACCTGAAACCTGCAGAACACAAACTTCCGTGCGTCTCGTGCGCAGTCTTCCCTGGTTTGAATTTGAAAAACAACGTTTGAACCGGGCTTTCCGGAGCGCGTCTGTGATTGGCTGAAGACACGGAACCCCGCCTACTTGTGGTGCGTTCAACGACTGTTTGAGAATACTCCAATAAACGCACATTAGTGGATAATTTATGTTTAGGTTTCTAATCTCAGCGCAAGTATGATATTATTATTTTTTGGATTTAGAATGAGGGAGATTTAAGAGCGTTGTCATGGTAGTTAACAATTTTAACAAATGTATACGTAATATTTCCATATCATAATAAAAATTTAAATTATGATGACAAGAGTAGCGACAGTGGCTCAGTTGGTAGAGCATTGGCCATAGAGCCTGAAGGTCGTGGGTTCGAGCCCAAAACAAGATTCACGACTCCCACTGATGACTGCTGTCGTTGTGTCCTTGGGTAAGACACTTGGGCGGCACGGTGGCTGAGTGGATAGCACTCTCGCCTCTCAGCAAGAAGGTCTTGGGTTCGAATCCTGGTCGGACCAGGGCCTTTCTGAGTGGAGTTTGCACTTGTCTGCGTAGGTTTCCTCCAGGTACTCCGGTTTCCCCTATCACTAAAAACATGAACAATAGATCTGGCATGCGCCTCCTGTACTGGCGGGCCCACACTCCCATCTCTGTGTGGAGTCAGTGGACAAATGCCCAAAAATAATAACATGTAAACCGCTTTGTGACTCTGGTCTCTGAAAGGCGGTATATAAATAAACCTTACTTACTTAACCCCACTTTGCCTGAAGCCCGCACTAAAAGATCTCAGCTTCTGTGAACTCACCACTTGCAAGGGGATCAGTGAGGGGCTTGTCCAAAATCTCTCTCATCAACATGAATAGCTTGACAGACTGACACTTATTGTCTTGACGTCTCACCATTTTAAAGAAAACAATGCTACAAATACAATGGGCAGAACATTTCAGTCTTTAAACAGTCAATTTCTTTGTTTCTTAGCCATGGATCCTGTGCTTGCATGTGAGTCCAAGTAAATAAATAAATAATTTGAAGAATATACAAAGACAGAAAAAATATTGTTTTCAAACTTTATTCTTCTGAGAAGAAACAGTCTTTTGAAATGAACTCCTTGTGTAACTGCATATGCAAGATTGTAATATTATAAGAGGGCACCTATTAAAGAATACGCATTATTATTAATAACATTACGAAGATTATTCAATGTTATTTTTCCATTAAAAAGACAGCAACATAGAAATAGTATACAGATAGACTGCAGCTCTGGTTACTTGGAACATTTTAAATGTTTATTAGCTGTGCACACTGCAGACATGTGACAGCAGTATGCCAGTTTAATTTGGCACCATCACCCCTAAATTATTCAAAAGAACATAAACTTGTGAGTTGTTTTGAGGGTTCAGTTCACATTGTTGTTTTTAAATGTAAATTCAATGGCAGACTTGCAACAAGGTTATCTGGTTAGTTCCTTTTGTTTCCATATTTTATTATGACTTCCTGTAGTTCCCTTTTCCAGTAATTAATTTTATGTACAGCATACTGCAGTATAAAGCAGACCGATAATGTGTGTAGTTTCAAAGAACTAATATGTATGAAAAACTCTTTAAATAAAGATTGATAACAGTACCTGTCAGCCATTTCATGACAATCATTACCACAGCAGCTGCGCCATTATGAACAGTAATGAATAATGGAGAAAAAAAACAGTCTTTCTGTTCCCTTCACATTCATGCACACTTTTCAGGTTTCAAGCACTCCTCATTTGGTATAAAAAATACATACATATGGTGTATATATATATATATAAAAAAACAATGGAAATGAAAATAGGCGGCGAAGAACAAGCTTCATCAAGTGCTTTCATCGACCCTTCCCATCCGGCGGCTCTGCATCAGATCCCTCATAGTGCATTTTCAGACCCATCGTGTCTCTACTTTGGCCTTCTTCAAAGCAGCTGCTCAAATCTCCATCTCTGCTGTCCAAAGAATAAGGACAGTTGGATTAAAATAACAATTCATAAGGTCCTTTATTTTTTTGATATTACATCCTCTTTTCCAAAGCACAAAGTCCTCTTCTACACTTTTCTTGTCCTCATATCCAGAGCTATCATCAGAAATCTCATTCCAATAATTTGTTTTGGCTTTAAATAATGTTTAAGTTAAACACAATTAGGATAACCACGTGTCTGATGATATAACTTTTTGTAGAACTGTCAATTTAGAATCAGTGTTGATTTCAATGTTTGTCATTTAAAAAAAACTTTTCATCAAGTACCTACAGAGTCCGACCAAGAAAAAATATGTTAACAAAAATGTCACGATTTTGAAGCACAGTTAATACTATGCTATTTAGAGCGATTGAATGTCATGTTCATATTTAAGGCTTGCAAAATGCTATGAAATAATTTGGAAGAAAATCAAATTAAAACATATATATATATATGTAAAAACATTATGAATTTAGATCACTCAAAACCATAGGAAAGTGACTCTAAATTATTTACACATTACTTTTGCAACTCTCAGTCCCAAACATGGGTTGATAATGGGTCTGGAAACAAAAATGCCATCTGCCAATGAAAGAGCTATGAAATGATAATTATTGTTCTCACAATTCGGGGTATGGCATATTAAGAGATCAGGCTGTATCTCTAAGGCAAAACAATAAGGGACATGTATTTAAACATTGGACCAATCCTAGATGTTTTTTGTAACTGAATAACTGCAGGATGTCCAATGGCGTGTGAAGCCTATGAGTTCATATGCTCCACCTGAATGGCTGAGGTGGACACGGTCAGGCAGAGGTCTTTGTGGACCACAGGGAGGTCGGCCACAGTCACTGGTTTGTACTGGATCTCACTGGCTGCAACAGTCTTGTACTGGTGCAGGTCAAAGGGACACGGCACCACGGCCTCTGCAGGTTGCTGCTGGTAGCCTCCGGGAGGTCCTGGGTTCTGGGCTGGACTGGTTTGACTCTGGAGCTGAATGGCTCGTGCAGACAGACCCCCTCTGCCCCGGCCACGGCCCCGCCCTCTGCCTGTGGACCCTGGACCGAGACCCTGCGCCTGCTGCGCCGCCACTGTAGCTGCCACCGTCAGAGGGTCCGGGTTGTGCTTCCTCATGTGTTTCATTAAATAGGTTTCCTGAGAGCGGAGAGAGGAACAGTGACTAATAGGACGGAGAACAGACTGCAGCAGGAGGAGCAGGACTCACAGAGGTGTAGGAGCGGTTGCAGAGGCCGCAGGAGAACAGTTTGGCGTGCTTCACTGTGTGTGTCGACAAGTGGACCTCAAGGCTTGCAGCATCTGTGTAACCACGGTTACAGTTGTGGCACTTGTACGGTTTATCTTTATTGTGCTGCCGACGATGAGACTGAAAAAACAACAAAAACAAATGTATTCAATTTATTCAAACAATGAAACATGAAAAAAATGCTGATAAATGAACAATACCTGGAGATTTGAGAGCTGGGTGAAGGCTTTCTCACAACCTGGATGGTTACACTTATAAGGTCTATCACCCGTGTGGATTCTAAAATAGGAGCAAAAGGATTCGTTTTTTATCTATTCCAAACAGACTAAACAGACTGAAGCCAAATAGAGAAACATAATAAAGCATGAATTTCTCAAGTCAAGATATTCAAAATACATTACAAATGTAACATTTGAGGAAATGAAACAAACTCTTCAACAAAGCCAATTTTTCAAAACATGAAATTAGACAATGATTTACAGCTACAAGATTCACAGGTTTAGTTATATCTGTAACATGGGTATAGAGCTAATGAGTCATTTGGACAGTGACGAGTCTTTGAGTCCAGACAAGCTCGGGTGTCCCCTGCGCCCCCCCTGGCTCCTGGAGCAGTACCGTGTGTGCTGCTGGAGGTGGCTGAGCTGCCTGAATGTGTTCTGGCAGAAGGCGCAGCTGTACGGCTTGGCTCCGGTGTGAATACGGAGGTGCTGCGACAGGTAGCTGGAGTTGGCAAACGACTTGGAGCAGTGCGGACACTTGTGGGGCTTGGCCTCAGTGTGGTTTCTAATGAGGGACACCAGAATGGAGAAGGAGAAACACAGAGAAACAGCCAGATGTTTTAAGGCCACAGCATGACCAAACTTTAAGACTAACTCATGCATTTGTCCCATAGGTGATCAGTTATACAGATATATGACCACAGACTTGACAGTGTGCTCTTTGTGCTGTGTCTGAGTTATGAAAACACAGAAACATATAGCAAGCACAGTCACGCTCCCCTTTCTCTCTCGCATTCTCTCTCTCCATTTGGTGTGCCCTGTTTGAGTGAGTCTACAGATGTACGGGATTATCATGTGAAATGCTGATGCAAGTGCTTCCTCTTGTTCATAATGTGAAGGCAAGCAGCAGCCAAAACATGCAGAGAATCAAACTGAAAAGAACAACGCGAGAGTGGAACAGAGCACTTCCATGAGTCATGTGATACTGTAGCAAAGATCATAGCAATTATCATTCAAAAGAGCGTAAAGCAGCTAGAGATTGTGATGAGACTATTCAGCCATGCAATAGGAAAATTATATCTTTATTTGAATAAATATGTAAAATCCAATTTAATCCAATCAATTAAACTAAGGAGTAGTCTGTTTACACAATCATCTAAAAACCAAATTATAACATTGCAGTGAAAGTTAAATTTGTAATTGTATCTTTGTGAACTTCTTTCTTTTACAGGTGTTTCACAATATGTCAAACATGGATGTCACCATCAGAAAGTATAATAAACTGTATCTGTACGACCCATAACCGCTCTACCACTTCATAGACGTGACTCAGGCTGGAGCTAACGACTAATTATATATATATATATATATATATATATATATATATATGGGTCTTTTATCAATTATTACCTTTGATTAAATCAAGTAGAACATAAACTGCCTTTACAGCATATTTTATGCATAAATTGGGAAAAGAATGATTCATATTTAAAAAGGAAATTATTGAGAATAATATTGCTAAATCAAATTGCTGCCTTTAGAGTTGGCAAAACATGGAAACATTTGTGTGAAACAAGTTCAAGAAGCAACAGCTTCAGTCTTAAGTAGATTTAGGAAGGAACCATTTTTTGTAGGCAAAACAATTTTATCGAAAGCTTTTTTAATACATTGATCAATTCAATTAAACTTGTATAATCATTTCAGCCCTTTAAATGTGACAAAAGCAAGCGGCAACAGCAAAGAAAAGATAAAAGCAAAAACAAAAATATATACAAATAAAATACAGACTAAAAATAAAGCAAGAAAATGGAAGAATGTTTTCCCCAGACAATGTTCCAGTCTCTCACTCACACAAACACACACACACAAGTGTCAGGTACCGCGTGTGCTGCTGCAGGTGGCTCAGCTGTCTGAAGGTCTTCTGGCAGTAGGTGCAGCTGTACGGCTTGGCTCCGCTGTGGATGCGGATGTGCTGCGACAGGTAGCTGGAGTTAGCGAATGACTTGGAGCAGTGCGGACACTTGTGGGGCTTGGCCTCCGTGTGCGACTTGGCGTGAATCTGCATGTCGGACTTACTGAAGAAGGTCACCGCGCACATCCGACACCTGGAAAAACAAAAGGATAATCAAGAGAAGCCAAAACTGTGACTTTGAATATTATATTATTGTAATGTAATGTTGTAGAATTGATATGTGATGTTCCAGGAGTGTCAAACTGGGCTGCAGGTTTTTATTCCAACCAAGCAAGAGCACACCAAACTACAACCATTTCCTCGGGTCTTCAGATTAAGACTGGACTCATTGAGGCCACACTCTAACCCTTTGAGGACCGGTTTGAATCTGTTCTATTTTATCACAAAAATGGCTTGAAAGAAGCTGCAATTCAAAAAGACCTCATTCTTGCCCGCTGGGAATTTCAGAAAAAAACTAAATAATCATTAAACAATTTCAAAATGAGAAGGATTTTGATCTGAGTATGATTTGGGCAGGGCTTCACCACTCTGTAAAATTATGATGCAAAAAAAGAAATCTACAATATTCCATTTAGTTTAGATGGATTTGATGCTATTTACAATATTTCAGGCAATGGTAACTACAAGTAACACTAGTAGTAAAAACACTAAATATACTCAACACAAGTTATGTAGCAGTAAAACTTCAAATGATTCATTACTAATAAATCAGTAATGGCATTTTAACATTGCAAACACTTCAAACAGAACTCCATCCATCCATCCATCCATTTTCTTCCCCTTAATCCATTTCTGGGTCGGGGGGTTTCAATCAGACCTGCACCCAGTTCACACAGCACCACTGATCCTCCTGCAGGGGGTGAGTCCACAGGAGCCCTGATCTTTTAGTGGGGATTCAGGCAAAGTGGGGTTAAGTGTCTTGCCCAAGGACACAACGACAGCAGACATCATTGGGAATCGTGAAGTAGGTCTCAAGGTGGGCTTGAACCTACGACCTGCAGGCTCTAAGGCCAATGTTCTACCAACTGAGCCATTGTCGCAATCAGAACTGATTAAGGTGAATAAATATCAAGAACATTTTCAGTAATGTTTTATTACTTGTAGGATTTGGGGCCGTCTTTGTTGGTGTGCTCGTCTTCATCGTTGGACAAGTCGTAAGGATCAGCTGCGTGATGCTGTAACGGAATCACAAACACATGAACCAAACAGTTTGTTTAGGGGAAAAAGAATAATTATTATGCATTATTTTGGGACCTATGATAATAAGACTTTAAAATGGTGTTTCACGTTGAAGAACTCTGAAGGCATACAGATCCCGTCAGACCACTGAAGCTAAGCAGGACAAGGCCTGGTTAGTACTGTGATGGGAGACCACAGGGAGTGCTAAAACTGTCATTTTGTCGTTAAGCCTACTGTATACTCGCTCAGCGCTGTTACGGTTGCGCTGGACCTACGCAGCTGGTACACTCGCGCGTTCCCCTTAGGGAGTTTTGAAGAGAATAATGTAATTCCACACCCAACCCCATGATGGCGAACTCACAGGAGTTGCCTGAGAAACCAAAGCGGTCCCATTTACGCTGCTACTTTCTCCTCTTCAGAACAAAAACATTAGCAAACCAAACTGTTTGAGATCATTACATGTGTTTCTACTGTAGGTTTATGTGATAGTTCTAAACTCATCGTTTCGTAACTCATTTAAACTGTGATGCTGTGAATAAAGACACAGTTCTTGTTGGAAACATAGTTATAATAAAATTTTATTCAGCACAAACAGCAAAACAATAAGTGGTAAATATCTGAGACAAATATGAACGATTTAGTGCAGGAAGAATGCAAAAGACGCGATTAAGCTACAAGTGCAGATTCAAACAAAGCCAGGCGCAGGAACAGTGCAAAAGAAACGACTGCACAAGCAGTTTAAAAGTTTGATACGCAACAGAACTGAACAGTCCACAGTCTACGCGTATATCAGGCTCTGAGCCATGAACCCAAACTACTTTTCCTTCGGTTCCTTCGAAGCACAAAGCCATCTGGTCCAAAGTGCCTCATCCATGCTCCCTGCAGCCGCTACATGCTTCTGTCCAATACACACACATGGACCAATCACAGGGGAGCTTCACTGCGGCACGGCCTGCGTAGGTAGACATTTTTGAGGGTGCGCGGTAGGCTACGCAAGGGCCTTGCGGTGATCCTTGCGTTGCGCACGTGACGTCACGTCACCACCGTAAGCTCCGCGCCGCTCGACTATACACTAGGCTTTAGGCAAGACATCTGCAGCAATGAAACTGGTGTGTGTGAATGTTTGATGGTTGGCGGGACCGATGGCACATACTAGTTTCTTTGCTTCGAAATGGTCACAACTTTGGTACACAATGGTTGGTGTTGGAAAAATATATTTTGTATCCATATATTTTAATTAGAATGAATAAAAATTAGGGATGCACCGATCCGATACTGGTATCGATATCGGCGCTGATACCAGAAAAAATACTGGATCGGATATCTGCGTAGAGAGGCGCCGTGCTGCTGATCCATTTTCTTTTCTTTAAAAAAAAAAAAAGATATATATTTTTTAATACATACCAGGTACCGCACAATGTCTTAAAATACATTGTGCATAATGTACATATACGTATAAATTAATTAAAAGTAATTTATCAGATCTCACGTACACGTCACTTCCTCGTGGCGCTCTACAACAACAACAACACAGGATGGAGCGCAGCAAAGAATCAGCGTTGTTCACGCGGCGGTAAACTAGCAAAATACAACACGACTAAGCACCACGAGAAACAGCATGGGGAGTTTTTGCATCGAAAGGAGATTACGTGAAAACAACGAGACACAGATGACACTGACGCAGCGTCACAAAAAGCTTTTCAGCAACAACCCGAAAGTGTTGGAGTTCATCATGGGCTCGCAGCCCCATAGACCATTTGGAACCCAGGTACATTCCGTCGCCAAATACATATCTGAAATCCAGTTAAAGCTACGGTACTATTATTTATTTACATTTTCATGCAGCGTGTTTTGTTTGTTGTGTTTCTTTATTCAAACACAGTTAATATAAGTACATTTATATTCAATAAATGTATAAGGTATAATACAGTGTTGGAATGTTTAATGTGAACATTGAGCAGCTCTTTATAGTTGCATTTATGCACATTTATGTTGAATCCATTTTTATCTGGAAAGTTTAGCGCTTTAGTTCATCCACTGCTTTTGCAGTTACTTGAACAAAGAGTTCAATTATTAAAATACATTTTAGCATGATCATTTCCGGTATCGGTCAATATTGGTATCGGCAGATACCCATAGCTCTGGTATCGGTAGTAAAAAAGCTGGATCGGTGCATCTCTAATAAAAATACATTGCTTTTACAAATGGTTTAACTCCATACACAGTGAATGCCACAGCTGCCCACTCCATGTGTATGGAGCTAAACCATATATAGAAGCAATGCATTTTTATTCATTATAATTAAAATATATGGATACAAAATGTCTCTGCATGCAATTCCACTCTTCTACCATCAGAGGGAGGGGATTTTTCCAACACCAACCATTGTGTGCCAAAGTTGCGGCTATTTCTAATTTAGAAGCATTTTTTTTGTTTTAAAAAGACAGAAAACAGTTCTGAGAATTAAGTATTGTATAAGTTTTCAACGTAGTATACCAGTATTGAACACAACTCCAGGTCTGTTTTTGGTGAGGGAACAATGTAATAAAGCCTCAAGAAAGAAAATGAAGCCTAATGAGTCTTTAACTCATTGACTGCCATTGACGTATTTCTCTGAGACCCTCTATTCGACTGGGGATTAAAGGACAAAAAAAATAGCTAGAAACAAACTTATTTTTGCTGTTGAAAGTAGACAATCCAGTCTTTCAGAATCTGTTTTATATTTCAGATAGTCTTAGGAAATAATATTCTGTGGGTCTTGAGAATCAGTGAAATCATCAAAAACGGCAGGCAGTCAAAGAGTTAAAGAATAATATGGAGAAAGCCTGTCCCGAGCGCTCACCTGTCCTCCAGCTGCGAGGTGCGCAAGGATCAGAGCGTCGCTGCCCGCAGGCAGGAGCCCGCTCATGCGGCTCAACATGGCTTTGCTTTTCCGCCCACGCTTTGACGGAGTGGGCATCACAACCGCTGGGGGCAACGCCATGTCGTCCTTCTTATCTACAGACAGACGAGCAGTGACATTAGCTCTACATTGTCTGGACAGCTGCCTTCTAATGTGGTTTTAATGGTCAAAACGAGACAGAAACTTCTTTTAATACTGATATTTTGCAACACCAAGTTTTGTTATTATTTAAATGTTTGTAATTGTGTATGATTGTATGTCTTAACTTGAAAAAATAAAGACAAAAACAAACATGATGGAAAAATAAACAAAGTTAGACAAAAAAGTGGGTAGGACTAAGCAGATGATTATTTGGTTCCAACCCCTCTTACTCATAATCCCCAAACGGCACTCGCACGCACTACTACCACTCTAGTTTACTCGCTGTGAATTTTTGAAGTCTCTCGTTCAAATGAATGGAGCTCTCGCCGGCTGACGCATGCGCAGATGCGTTTTTTCACAATTTTCTTGTGGGCGGGACCACTCGCGGCCATTTTGGATAGCTCCAGTAGAGCACTATTTTTGGCCCATTAGTTAGAACGGCGGAAATAGGCGTGACTGTCCGTTAATATTTACAGTCTATGGTCAACCGGCACGAACCCCATTCATTTAAACGAGTGCCTTCAAAAATTCACAGCGACTAAACTAGACTGGTCAAAAAAATTCCCCCTCAGCATTGACACACATGTGGAACGGAGCTTTGGATCAAGAGTTAACTTTTGGACCATCCTGTAAAGACGCTTTCGAGAGGTAAGAAAATGCTATATTAACATAGCATTGGCTAATTCTTATTCCGGGTCCACCCCCATCGGCCCGGGGTGGTATTGCAGCATGTCAGCGCACATCATTTTGGCCAGTTTTGAGCCGGGACCCACCCCCACTGTACTATAGTTATAAAAGTAAAAAAAAAATCTGTCATTAACAATTTTAGACAATAAAAATCTGTGTGATTTGAGGTTTCAAGATTTGCATTAACAAAAAACTTTTACAATCTATTGTTAAAGAATTTAAAATTGTATATACATATTTAATATCTAATAGGTCTGCTTCCTGTTCCATGCAATATTCAGATTATTTATATTCCATTTAAGTGACTTTATCATGAATCAATCCTCCAGTTTTATCATCCTGAATGGGTCGCTCACCTCTACATCCAGTGGGCGACCCATTTCTCATGGTGTATCAGTCCTTTCACACGTCACAGCCCTGTGTGTGTTCTGGTACCTGCATTGGAGGCGTGCAGAGCGGACACGATCATGGTGGTGGCGGTGGGATGTCCCGTCACAAACGACTGAGAGGAGGCGGTCGGGACGAGGGTTCCTTGAGGAGTTGTGATGACCAACCCAGCTTAAAAAATAGGAACATTTTTACTATAACATTGATTTTAGGCAAAGACAGGACAGTAGCGTGATTTAAACAACACATTCCAACTGTGTATGAACTATTGTATGTATTGTGTCTACTCATTATGTTGCCAGGAGTCTGTGGGTTAGTATCAGAATTCAAAAGGTTTCATTAATGCTCGGAAATGGGACAAGTAACAAATTATTACAGATGGAAACTAGCCTCCATGACTAAATCTGGAATATTTACATGGACATAAGTTGATTAATGCACACAGTCCCGTTCAAATAAATAAATAAGAAAATAAGCATATTCAATTTTGGAGGTAATCCAGATCAGCGTTTGGCAGTCTTTGTATTGTGAGTGAGTTCTTTTAAAGGAAACTTTTTGCGAAGGTCAACACTCTATGGTTGTAGTTCTAGTTTCTAGTTTATTGAAAAGTTCTCTCCACCTCTAGCTCCCCCTTGCAGTACTTGTCCAGCCCACCAGGGAGCAGCAAACGTGAATGATTATCCCTTAAAATAACTTTACAGGCACATGTTGATTGGGTCCATCAGAGTGTTGTTGTTTGTCTGTAATGTTCCACAGTATGGCATTAAATCTGTCCATCTACGTCATAGCCAACCACGTGGCTTCATATCTGCTGCGAGTTGACCCAATGAAAGAAGTCCTATTTTTGATCACATTAGTCCAGTCCTCAGGTCTCTGCACTGGCTTCTGTGGCTCAGAGAATAGACTTTGAAGCAGCTGTTTGTTACAAGTCTCAAAATCTGGAACAATCTTCCTGAAAATTCAATCCATTCCAATCCAGTTCTGTTTAGCTGTGCAGACAACTGAGGGATTATATATTTTCATCTTTCTTTTTAATGTACAGTGATTATGATTTTAATACCTTGTGTGACTGTTTCTATCTTGTTTGACTCAGAGTTGCCATGTGTATTTATTGTGCTATAAAAATAAACTTGCCTTGCCTTTCCTTGAACAGTAACAACATCTGTGATAAAGATTACACACTTTTCCAAGCAAAGCATTGTCATCTCCAGACCTTATTCAAAATTGAGCTTTAAACCATATTATGACATCATAGTATGACATCATTGTACCACTATGACATCACACTATTAAAACAAAGATTAATAAACTCTTCAAGTGAAATAACATTCTTTACATGTCTGTGTTTGCAGACAAATGTTTCAAAGTGGAAAACGTAAATTCAATTCCCTCCCTCTGGTGGCTTTCACCTGCAGGGGGCGCCACATAATAGCCATAAGAGAAGATAAGAGAACCTTTTGTTTGTCCCACAGTGGGGAAATTTCAATGTTGCAGCTCACACAGTAGCTGAAATGCTGTTGACTAACCTGCAGTCATGATTCCCGTGGAGGGGACAGGCACGACGGTGACATTCTGGGAGGTGTGACTCTGGTGCAGGTGTGAGTTCAGAGCCGGGGCCCCTCCCTCCTGCTTGGGGACCACCCGCAGCCCCGAAACGCCATCGCTGGACCCCGGGATTGCCAGCAGCGCAGTGGGGTAATGAGGGGAGGAAGATGAGGAGGGGTGGGGGAACGAGGGGGCAGGCGGCTTCTCTGCCCCCAGCTGGTCCTTGGTCTTGTTCAGAAACATGGCGCTTTCGATCTGTGAGGAGCAGGAGGAAACCCAGGGAAAACAACGAGAGGTATGGGGAGGACGAGAGGCGAGCAGTTCAGGGATGGGAAATAGAAAAGTGTAAATGAAAAACAGAATAACAGAATAATGAGATGCAAAAGTAAAAAGTATCAGAGGGTTTAAAGAGGTGAAAGAGGACAGGGAGTGTGTGATCACATTATCCATTCAACAATCCTCTGTTCACAATTTTTTGTGATTCAGTCATTTGCACAGAAAACTGCTTTTCAGTAACGTTACAAGAACTGGAGTCAAGTCATTATCTTTTCCACAAGCATAAACTCTTAACAAATCTAATTTTAACTTTATTATGTGTATTGCAAGACAATTCCAACAATAAGTTTGTCTCTACCTGTCCTTGTACTGTGGGGACGGGAGACCAAAAGTATGATGAGTTGAAATGGGAATCGTCCATAATTTCTGTAATTAAAAAGCAACACACTTAGAAAACACCTGTCCTCCTTCTCACCTCCATTGCCACTGTCATTGAAGCATACCCACAGCGAGCATGTTTCAATCATTTGTTTCCTTTCTATCTGTCCTCTTGTTCCATTATTTGTTGCATTTTAGTGATGAACGCATAATCAAAGTTTCACTAAACTCCAGGGATCACTCCCTTTTCATCCAGTCAACAACTTTTTAAAGTCAATTTCTTATTTAATTCAAGAAGAGGATATGAAAGGATCGAAATGTCGAGGGGCTGACAGGGACCCGTAGCTGTTTATTGTTAGTCACAGTCCCATGAAACTTTACATAAGACCAAGCAGAAGGCGTGTCATGATTGTGTTATCACGCTGTTAATTCAGGTGAGCGTCTGCAGTAAGTTGTGCATGCATTATTATGTGTCACGTCGAGCTGTCAGAGGTTTGACACATCAGGCTGTCATCTGTCTGTGCACAGCCATTTGTGAAGAGTTGCCCAAACTACCACACTGTTAGCAAAGCGCTGAAATATGCACGGACCACACAACACTGACAATCTGCAGATGCATGATGTACAGTGAGAACGCCTGCGTGTACAGTGGCCCAGTGTCAGATCCGTGCAGCAGGCTAACATTAGCTGGTTCCCGCTGCAAGACAAGGAGCTAGCTAACTTGCCTCCATTAATTTTGTTCTTTTGTTCGTGGGCTTGCAGCTCTAGCTACATGGAGGCCTTTAGTCAAATGCTTCACCAGGTGTCCGCTGTGTATATTGCAGACATCCTGCTGTCTAAGCTATGATTCCTCCCGCTGCTTCCTACTCATCTCGCGGAGAGAAAATAAAAAAAAGAGAAAAAAGTGGCCGATAAAAAAAACAAGGCATAAAAAAAACGTCTACGCCGCTGAGCAGGAGACGCAGCTTCATGCAGACTTCCGGCGGTGGACGAGGCAGACACAGAAATAACACTAAAGCAGCACATTCACAACCACGCCACTGTCATTTACCCGCAGGAGTGATCCCTGTCGGCCCCCCGGAGCCGCCTCAGGTCGGGACAGTTGGGAAACTTTGTCCAAATCCGCCCCTCGGATCAGACCCCTCAGATATTCCTTTTTTTTCTTCAGATTTTTTCCTTTTCCCTCCAGCGCCGCGCGACTGTGAAGCTATCGAGTCTACACGAGAAGCACGTCCGGTCTGGTGCTTTCAAAGTAAAACAAAAATCATCTTGTAAACTCAATGTCGTATTCAAACAGAAAATTAAGACCAAAGATAAGACCAAACTCATAAATGCGATTATTTAATTGATCTAAACATGTAACTATATGTGTTTATTTAACAAGTAAAATATTTGTAAACTGTTCTATATTTTGTTTTGAAACTGTTTCTGGTGTCTGACATTGTGCTTTCTGCTAACTGTACACAGATGTCAACATCATCACAGCTTGGTGCATCAATGTATTTTTTATCTTATTTTGCGATATATTTTTATAATTCTCAATCTATGTTATGGCAGGTAATGTCAACACATAATTGCATGTAAGGTTATATTATAAGAACACATCCACCAAATAAACTCATTACACTATTTGTGTGTGTGCAGTTACTTTCCTATAAATACATTTTGTCTACATGTTTTTCAGAAGGACTATGAGTTGTCTTGAGATTGTATGCTTTCCAGATAACAGATAAGCTGTAATGTACTATAGAGACATTTCTTTGTATTTATTTTTTTATTTTGGAACAAACTATCACAGAGATGGGCCCCTGGATGCTCCACTATGGTATTTTTCCCTGTCAAATGCGTCAGAAAAATCATCCTACCGTGACACCTAATGACCTAAATATACCTTACACATACATTTAAAACCCAAATTCCCAATAAACACAGATCCAGTCATAATGTATTTTAATGTATTTATTGACAGCCAATGACAGCACTCACACTTTAACCAGGACAATGTACATATGATCACACACAATAACACCGTTCTTAGCGATTTCTGAAAATAGTGAAATCTGAACCCAAACAGTGCTCCATGCATGGTACTATACATTTAAAACATCCTGCCACAATGAAGGCTATAAAGATTTTATCTTAAAACCGAAAAATCAACATTGTTATTGAGCTACAGGGATACAGACTCCAAAAATAGCTGGTTCATAAATATTTGTGACGTCAAAGTCTATAAATATCATTAACTACAACAGAAATAAATAGATTCAGAAAAATATAGTCTACTGCAACTCTTCATTTGTTAAGAATAAAACCCAGCAGTGAGGTGGATTGGATTGGTTTAAAAAGTAGTTTTTAGTATATTCCTGGCATAGGTTTGAAGCTACACTGGGAAACATTTGAGGTAACTTAAAACACAGAACTTAACTTGTCACTTCAGTCTAAGATTTGGATTAACTTTGTATCAGAGAACCTCACGGCAGACAGACAAGTACATTGTAATACACCATTTTAAAACCACTTCTCACTTCATCAGAAAGCCGCACTTTCTTGATGGTTTAGTTCAATAATATATTTTGGTGACATGAAAAACATGCTAAATTATTTTAGCCCTGTTTCCACCGGCCCTACTCTACTCTATTCTATTCTACTCTAGTTGGCTCCACCTTTCCCCGATTGGGGGGCCCTGTTAATCCGGTACCAGATGCTTTTTCAGAGTATAAAAGGGTAGAGTATAGTAGGGTAGGGTAGGGTAGAGTAAGGTACAGTGAAGTAGTGTAAAGTAGAGAAGAGTGGGGAAGAGTAGGGTAGAGTAGAGTAGAGTAGGGTAGAGCAGAGTAGAGTAGTGTAGAGCTGAGTTGAGTAGAGTAGAATATAGTACAGTACAGGAGAGTACAGTAGAGTAGAGTAGAGTAGAGTAGAGTAGAGTAGAGTAGGGCCAAGTAGGGCTGGTGGAAACAGGGCGTATGTGACACAAAATCATTAATGACCAAAGAACAGTGTTAAAATACTGACTTCTTATATAGTTTTCAACAAGACGCTCAGTGCAGATTACAATTGAATGAGTAAATAAGAAACAATATATCGTGTTGTAGAGTAACTCTGTGGGAATAAAGGTCCCTTTAAAGCCTCTTGCATACATTGCAGTTCGAGCTACAAGCGTTAGTAAATGGAGCGAGACCCTTCCACACTTAAGATGCACTTAGGTTTTTAGGTTAGACAACAGTGTGAAATATAGAGACATGACAACAGGACACAACGACAATGACCAAATACAAGAAGAAATAATGAACAGGAATGTGGGCATAGAAACACATGAAAAACGAATAATAACACAATACTGTACAAGGCAAGAAAGTTATATATTTGTATTTTGAAATGCCAAATATTTCTATATATTTTTCATACAGCTATCAAAAAGGACTAGATGGTACAATCCCAAAGGCACATATAGGCACTTTTGTTTAATTCTTTTACAATTTGCTTATTTGACTGATTTAAATCACATTCTTGCCCCCAATTGTGCAGCCCTGACTCGCATCGAATCCAAACATGAAAGGAATTAATTGTCTTATGAAAAGGACACTATGGCGTTTTCCCCACAAGTCTGAGCTATGAGTGAATCATTGAAGATATATGTATTTAAAACCTGAGAAATCAACAGATACATATGTTTAAGATGAGGTTGACCTGTGGAAAGAGAAGCAGACGAGACGGTGGTACAGGAGGACTGGAGGTGTTCGTCTTTACCCAGTGCGAGAGGTCACCTACAGATCAGAGGACATAGTCAGACCTTAAATACATTTAAGTACATCTGTGATATGTTAGCTCCATAGGAGGAGCACAGGGACTGGCCTTCTGCTGTGACTCTGAGGAGCACAGGGACTGGTCTCCTGCTGTGACTCTGAGGAGCACAGGGACTGGTCTCCTGCTGTTTCCCAGAGTCAGGACTAAACATGGAGAGGCAGAGTTTCAGATTTATGCAGCTACAATCTGGAACAGTCTTCCTGAAAATCTGAGACAGGCTTCCTCTTCTTCTTGGTTCAAATCCAGGTTAAAAACAGTTCTGTTTAGCTGCATACAACTGATGGATTGTATATTCACTCTTTTACATGTACTGTAATAATTATTTATGCCTTGAGAGTTGTAGATCTTGTTTGTGTTGCCCATAGACTGTAAATATTACTATGATATTAGTGTTGCCTTGTCTATGAACTGTGCTATACAAACAAACCTGCCTTGCCTAAAACATATCATTAGTGTATTAGGCCAATGGGACAAGCAGCTTCAGTATTTCAGGTGCAGGTAAATGTTTGTCTCGTTGCTACAAAGAGTTTGAGACGTTGTTTTAAAATGGTCGCAATGGACTCAAGTTTAGATAAATGTAGCATAAGGGTGCTGTACTTGTTTACAGGTCGTATATGTGGAGGAGAGCCAACCCAATGGAATAACTCTGGAAAAACTTTTTCATCCATCTTCTTCCCCTTAATCCATTTCTGGGTCAGGGGGGTGGCAGTCAGAGATGCCATCCAAGTCACATAGCACCAGCCCCTCACTGATCCTCTGCAGGTGGTGAGGAGGACGGCTGCCCCGTAAGTGTGCGCATAGCCTTGATCTTTCAGTGGGGGCTTTGGGCAAAGTGGGGTGAAGTGTCTTGCCCAAGGACACAACGACAGCAAACATCAGTGGGAGTTGGTGGAGAAGGTGTCGAGGTGGGATTGAACCCACGACCTTCAGGCCTAAAGGCCAATGCTCTACCAACTGAGCTACTGTTACCCGGATTTTTTTTTTTTTAGCATAAAAACATCTGTAATTAAATAATGTATGTATGCATCATAGTGAGGATTTTTATTTATTATACACTTTACATAAATGATGTAAGTGAGCAGTAGTGTTGGATATTCACCTGTGAGATGCTGATCCCGGTGAGTTTCTCCACGGCGTCTGGGAGCCGGGTCATGATCTCCAGCACCTCTCCAGACAGTTTGGCTGCTCCCACGTCACCTCCTCCACTGGACACCATGGTCACCTTCTGGGCCTGGCACAGCGGCTTACTGATCTCCTCTGCGATCTGCAACCAATCAACGGCTTGTCAACAAAAACACGTCGATTTTGTCCCTTAAACATCTTCTTGAGAATATTCACTGTTTTAGAACAAAGAACCATTCTTTAAGATATAAAGCAATGAAGAAAGAGATGACTACAATGTTCCAAAATACTACACCAAATTGCAAGTAATATACATTTGTGTTTGCTTTCATGGAAAGCAGAAATCTTCTATTTCTTCATGCAATGTCTGATTGTAATGGCGTACCAAGTTAGCGATAGTAGCATTTAGGAGGCGAATCGGAAGCCACATCCGGCCCAGTCGACATTTCTATGTGGCCCCTTGACACTTCTCAGTTGTTAACCTCAAACTGGTCTGTTGCTTATTTAAATGAATCAGGAGTCATTACTTAATAGTAATACTTGTATTACAATGTACTACTATGGCATGTAGTTTACATTTTCTTAGATTAAAAATTAACCATGTGAAATTGGGTCCGGCCCTCCACGAGAGGGCATTATCCCTGAAGAAAAAAATAGCTCAGCCCTGATTTAGACAGAAGGGGCAAAGGGACGTGTTTGTGCTGATTTGTGAGCATGTATGAAGCGAGACCTGCTTTAGACCTGTTTAAGACCTGCTTCTTAGAGAATTGTTGGCATAAAATACATCAACGTACATATGAGACATGTGCCATTAAATGTATGATATATTGATATAAGGAAAAGGTTACAAAATAGAATAACAAGACTTCAAAGCCACAGATCCAGTTTTCTCTCTCACCAGAGGCAGTTTCTCCAGCAGCATGTCGACCATGGCTCCATCCTTGTACTGTTTGAAGGCTTCCGCTTTCTTCTCCATCTGCTCCGCTTCAGCGCGACCTTTAGCCTCCAGAGCGAACGCCTCGGCTTCTCCTTTAATCTGGAGGACAACAAATTCAACTTTCAATTGTAGTTGAGCAGTTAAAGCTGGGGTACCTCACTTTTTGTCTTATATCATGCTTTTTGCAGAGGTCAAAATATGAAAATTTGTCATAGAACCAAACTGTTTTGAGAGCGAGGAGTTAGTTACACATACTGTAGATAATTCTATTGCGCTATAAAACTCACCCTGATGGACTCAGCTTCAGCCTCCGCTTCCATGATCAGCTTCAGACTGGACAAGTGCACAAAAGACACAAATAGAAATATTAACAAACACAACAAATAATGATAATAATCATGATAATGAAATGGACATCTCAATAGTAATAGCAGAATATATCATTCAGGCAAATATACAGGCGCACACACGCACATACACATACATATACACGCACGCACGCACACACACACACAAACACTCACCGCTGTGCTTCGGCCAGTTTCTCGAGCCTGTATCTCTCGGCGTCCGCAGGCTTCATGACTTTTGCCTCCAGTTCTTTCTCTCGCCGCGTGATCTCCTGCTCCTGCAGCGTGATCTGCTGACTGCGCTCCACCACCTGCACCTGCATCCGCTCCTCCTCGATGCGCTGCTTCGTCTTCGCCACCTGAGACCAAGGCATGGCATGTTTATTTGTATAGCACAGTTCATACACAAGTCAACTCAAATTGCTCAACAAAACAACATAGAAAAAATAACTTTTTTTAAAGGTAGCTATTTACAGTGATACAAATCTGTCTATTTGAATTCCAGTTCGTATGTTGGATTAGTGACATCTAAACAAATCTGTTCGGTCGACAGAGAGGTCTTACCAATGCAGCTCAACAATCTGACCACGTTTTGCTCGTCCCAAAACGTGAAAGCCCGACCAAAACAACATGAACTTCAAATTTGATGAGGTCATCTCCGTTTAAAGCTGGTGTACATAATGTGGCGTATGAGTCTTGTAAAACCAACAGTTTGTGATCAAATCAAACCACAACAAGCTTAATCTTATAAGAAAACATTTTGCATAATAAGAAAGTTGCTTTGGGCTGAGATCTGTTTTTCACTTTTCTGTCTGAAAGAGCAGATCTAAAATGTCACGGAGGCCCAAAAGTACCTGCATGAGAAGATCCACTTTATTGCGGTGTGAAATGTAGGTACCTCAGCCTTAATGCTTAGTTAACACTCACTCTCATTTCTTCTCGTTGCATTACACTACTTACTACTACTCTATACTATTGTTAAGGTTAAGATACAGTTTATTTATCCCTGTAAGGCTATTTCTCCTCAGCATTTGACACATCCTCATGCCACTAGGGCCTCTGTCAGGAGCAGTGGTCGCCGTAGTACAGAGGACCCATCTCCAGATTTTGATGGCTTGACGGCTTGGTCAGGACTAGCAGAGCTGGAGGATTTTACCTATTGTACATGTGTTTACCAGAGCACCTGGAGGACCCTCAGAACCACTCAGAAAGACCTTGTTCTGACCAGGATTTGAACGCAGGACCTTCTTGCCTATTGCTAACCACTGTGCTACCCACACTTATCCTACCTTTTTAAAATCCAACAGTTCTTGCAATGTTGATCAGTATTTTATGACATAAATAATTAAACAAAACGGCACCATTCTATGGATTCTCTTGTCTTTGAGTGTTCACACACCTGGAGCTGGTATGCCATCTCCGACTCAGCCTTTTTTGTGTTGACTTCCATGTCGTAAGATGCTTTTTTGAGCTCATAGTCCCTCTGAGCTTTGGCCATTTCAATCTCATTCTTGTACTGAGCAGAGATCTTGGCCTGCATGGCGTGGGCTTCCTGAGACAAAGCATATTACACATGTGAATGTACAAACATGTGAATGTACAGACATGTGAATGTACAGACATGTGAATGTAGAAACATGTGAATGTACAGACATGAGAATGTACAGACATGTGAATGTACAAACATGTGAATGTACAGACATGTAAATGTAGAAACATGTGAATGTACAGACTTGTGAATGTACAGACATGTGAATGTACAGACATGTGAATGTAGAAACATGTGAATGTACAGACTTGTGAATGTACAGACATGTGAATGTACAGACATGTGAATGTAGAAACATGTGAATGTACAGACTTGTGAATGTACAGACATGTGAATGTACAGACATGTGAATGTACAGACATGTAAATGTAGAAACATGTGAATGTACAGACTTGTGAATGTACAGACATGTGAATGTACAGACATGTGAATGTACAGACATTTAAATGTACAGACATGTGAATGTTCATTTGAATGATTTAGTTTCTGTTTCTCACCCTGATCACGGAGTCTCTCTTGTTCTGCGCCTCTCCAATCCGAGCGTCTTTCTGGACCTGAGCAGTGCGGCCTTTTCCCAGAGAATGAAGATAATCCTATAAACAGTAGCCATATTAAAAGACAAACACATAATAGTTTAAACATAATACCATCAATATCATAATTATAGTTACAAGCGATGGATACAAAGGTACAAAGTAATAACTGAAATTATTTTCTCATAAAATGTTTTTGTTCTTGTGATAACAGTGTTGAGTTTCTTGCATCTTACAAACAGGAACTTGAGGAGATGTGAGTATTTCACAGGAAGAAATTTAGCAAATGTCCAGTGAAACCAAAGACACCTTCACCTTTCTATGAGTAACACATTCTGTGAGTGACAGAATGTGTTTGCCGCCTGATGTCAGTCTCACTCTTAACTCTCTTTAAACCTGATAAGAGTGAGACAGGGTGTGAGACACATGCCACCTAACACATTGTGTTTTCTAGTATGTTTTTGATTATTTTGGATGGGACAGTGTGTATTAGAAAAGAGCAGCCCACAGAGGGACTACTGACGAACAAGGTCTAACTGTAGTCCCACACACACTCATTCCCCCCGAATGATTGTACATGTTTTAGTGTGGGAAAACAGGGAGAACATGCAAACTCGACACAGAATGGAGACCAGGCACTTCTGTGTAGGGACGGGAAACAGAGAACATCCATTTTTAAGAATTCTGTAATTGTCCCATTTTGTCCGAATTTATGCCTCATCATCTCCCATCCCAGTGCTAACCAGGCCCTGCTCTGCTAAGCCTCTGAGATCTGAGGACATCAGACCTTGACAATACCTTAGAATATTCCTACTACAGACTCTGGGGTCCCTGGAAGACCAGGTAGTGGTGTGTTTCCCTCAGAACCTCAGTGTTTATTCACCTGGTCGTCGTGAACGTCTTTGAGAGTGTAGCTGACCACACTGATGCCCATGTTCACCAAGTCAGACGAGGCCACTTTGAAAACCTCCTCTGAGAACTTCTTACGGTCTTTGTAGATCTCCTGTAATGTGAGAACAGATGCATTTACACCGAGCTAATGCACTACCACTGCCAGTTCACTGCCAAGCACTAATATGCTTTGTTTAGAATGTGAAAGTGTAACTTAAGAATTATTTCAAAATGAAAGGTAACAAAAAATTAAATAAGTTTCCATTCATCATGAATCAAATGTTATTTATAAAGTGCACTTCATACATGACAAGTAACTAATATGTAAGCAATCTGGAACTTTTATACCAATAATATTGTTTGTGTCCTGAACTTAATTATACACATTGATTGTATTCATGGCAGTGGTGAAAGCAGCAGCATCAGTTGTAGTAGTGGTTTTAGTTGTTGTTGTAGAAGTAGTAGTAGTAGCAACTGTAGTAGCAGTAGCAGGAGTAGCAGCAGAAATATCAGTAGTAGCAGAAGCAGCAGTACCTCCACAGTGAGATGAGCGATGATGGCTCGTTGGTGTCCCTCCAGTGTCTCCAGAGCGATCTGAGCAATCTCTGGCTCAGATTTCCCCATAAACATCTGACAGGCTGCAGCCAACATCTCCTTATTCTGCCCCTGGATCTTCATCTGCAAAGACAACCACAGTCTTAACACAGGACCAGAAAAACATATACACATAGGAGCCATTAGCCCAACGGGGGCGAGGGTGGATGGTCCAAAAATGTTAATAAATGTCCATAAAAGAGCTTGCAATCACACTGTTAAAATGACCAATAGTGTTTTGAATTAGACAAACATTTTTGTGGAGGGACGAGATATGAGGGGGCCAGGTTATGAAGGGACCAAGGAGGACAGTAGATACTATGGTGTTGTGGAGTTGTTTGAGGATGGGGTGATGTGGTCTCTGGAGCGGGTGTGGGTGAGCAGGGTGGCGGGAGATGAGTGAGGAGGTTACTGCAGAAGTCAAGTCTGGAGGTGATGAAGGCATGGATTACAATATCTGCAGTGGCTTGGAAGAATTTAATGACATTTACTTTGGCTCAGTAGGTCCAAACATAAACGTTAATAATCCAAATCCTCATGAATCTGTAGTAAAACAAATCAAACCTACTGTTTCTGGACAAACAGGTTTATGTTTAAGGGTCCAGACTTGTGCAAAAGAAGTAAATAAATCTAATAATAAATTAATAAGATAAAGGTTACATAATTAAGTGAGTGTTGTACATACAGTACTTGACTTTCTCACTGGAAAAGTCAAGTACAGTATGTTCCTTTATTTTTGATGTGATTGCTCCCAGAGAAGGAGCATGATCTTAATTGTACCAGTGTGAAATGTCCTTATTTGGTAAAGCATGTCCCCAGCGGCCCTCACTGACCTGAGCGATGCCGGTGACAGACACGGGGACTCCATGTCGAGTGTAGACCTTATCGCTCTTCACATTCAGAGTCAGAGTGTTCAGGGAGATCCTGAGACACACACAGGCATCGATCACAACTAATGCACCGCAGCAACAATAGAATGATAATGCATTTTATTATTAGAGAAAGTAGATGTACATTCAAAGATGGAAAAGCAGGACAGCTCCAGGTTTGGTAGAGTCAACTTTGAAACCATTGAGATTTTGTCAACGCAGTTTAGGGAAGATTCAATGCAGTTTTATTTGCTATAGTACACAGCCTTCTCACCTTTTATCAATAATAATTTTTGTGTCTTAATAATCTTCTAATTTTGTTCCAAAGCCAATCAAATTCTAAAATGCACCAAGTAGTTTACAGGAAAAATAGGAATAAAAAAGCTGTCCATTATGAATAGATTTATTTTGTATGTGATGTCTACATGTATGCGTCAGTGCATTAGAGCTGGTGTAAGCTTATCAACTGTCAACAAACAGTAGTTTTCAGCAAATCCGGTAACCAAATATATTAGAGCTGAGTTACGTCCCTCGGCCTGCGTCAAATCTCAAACTATCGTGATCAGAACAGAGCGTACATCATCAAAGTAACTGATTAGTTCATTCATTTTGCGGAATGAGTCACTGGACGGATGATAATGGTGAAAATAACAAGGACACAGTGATCAAAAATAGAGGTAATAAGTGAAACGTCCTGAAATCACCTTTGAAGCTGCTGGACGCATGGGAACACAAACACTCTGCCTCCCGCGATCATCAGAGGAGGAGCGCGGCAGAATCCTGAAGCAGACACAAGGAGAATATAAGCTCCTCATCAGAGAATTTTAAAAGGTCCACTATAAATAACTCTTCCAGTCAGGGCTCTGTCTGCTCTTCTGCTCGTCTCTTTGGTGATGATATTGACTTTGGCTGGAATGGCGCTGATCTCATCTATTGCCTTAGAGACGAGCGGGTAATGTGGCCTGTTTCTCTGACGCACTTTTGAGCCCCAGAAAATGTACGTGGTCCATTTTGTCATAAAGCCTTTAATTCAGGGGGGGAACTATTACAACTACAAACATTATTGTGGTGATCCTAATTCTCGTGCTTTTCCAGATGATTAAGATCTCATTAGGCTTATGAACGTACAACTCTTGCCTTGTATATTATGTTTATTATAATATATTATTCTTCTTATAAATCCAAGCTCTCGTGATCCCCGATATTGAATCACACTTTCAGTATACATTTTTCTGACAAATATGTAAATGGTCTTGAGCATACTAAAGAATACAAAAGTGTGACAGAATGCCCACATTATAATCAGAAGATATTTTATGTTTTTCATTCATCCAAATACCTCTTCTGTCCATTAGAAGTTGCTAGAAGAGAAATGTTGTATACATTAGTCACATGTTCTATAGTGGCTGGTTATCTGTACCTGATCCTTTATCAGAATTAGAATCATTTTTTCATAACCCATTTTTCAAGGTTTATTTAAATTTGTATTGATTATTTTTCAAAAATGATTCATTTTAAAATTATTTACTGATGTTGTGTTGGGAGTTTTTCTGCCGCTTTGTCACTGATGACATTTTATTTTCTATAACTGGAGACACAGTAAAATTATCAAATCAGAGGCTGATCTGTTTAACATTTCGCCAGAAATGTTTTGTCAAACTTTTCTTTTGATTTTATACACAATATCTTGTAGTATTGTCAAACACAAGAAGTACAATAATAACAAACACAAAGGACATTGGTCCATACAGAAAGGACATCAATGTCCATAAATGTTAATGAATGTTACAATGAAATAAAAGCAGACTTGATGTAAATATAATAATCTTGCATTCTAAACCACTCCATAATTACCTGACACCACCATGGCTTCATTGGGACCACAGGTGTAAAACATCTTTCTGGCTGAAAAATATATAAACCAGACACATTAAAACTTGTGGAGTGAATCATGAGGTAGATGTGAGTCCTGCATCTTTCATCAACAGGAGCACTTTACTGTCGGCGGGAGGGGCAGAGAACACAGCAGCAGCAAAGGCTCAAATCTAATTTATGAAAAACACACGCAGGAGAGGCACACACAGAGAGCTGCCATCACGAAACAAGCGCAGTTTAGAAAAGCGAAATATAACGTTAATCAGAAGAAGAATAGATATTTTTTGTTGCTAGCGGGTTTTCATGATATTTTGATGCACGATGCACATTGGACGCGTTTTTGTCAAATTGTGAAGTCATAATATGTCAAACACTCACCCACTTAGGTCTACAAGAGGCTGTGATGAGGAGAGAATAGAAAACAGATGAAATATTGTTGATTTTGTGCAAAAGGAGCGTTTCTCGGATGACGATCAACGTCTGACGCGGTCCTGTCACCACAGCTGTGCCCGTCTGCGCATGCCCAGTGTCGCCGCTCTGACAACAGCGGCATCTGGTGGAGGAGTGAGGAAACGTCCCATTCAATATTTTCTTTCTTCGTGTTTTTTATTTATTTGTTTATTTTACAGATATAAATGTGTAGGTATTTATCCCCGTAGCATGCTCGGTTAAAAACATGCAACATAAAGCTCAAAGGTCATGACAAAAGATATATGACTTTTTACCTAAAGTGGCAAATATGCTGCATTTCCAAATTTGGTCATTGAATGCTGCTTTACAAAACTAGCACAGATACTTTTATACAACAAATATTTTTTGAGTTTAGTTAAGGGTCATCACATACATCACATACACATATGTTTAGTTAGCTGCTCTCACTGGTTCCACAAGGGTAAAGGGAAAGACAAATATGTACAGTATGTATTTGTTTGCACTCTGATCTGCATTGAAGCACTTGCCTTGTGCACGAATTGTGCCATATAAATGATTGATTGATTGAATGATATATAGCATAGATTATTTAATATGTGTACAAAATATGATCCAAATATATCCTATAAATCTTAGTTTAGAAAGAACATTACTATGGTGATCACTGAGCTGGCCTTATGCTCTCTAATAATTCCACATAATGTAAGTATAATTTAGGGGTTAAACAATGAATGGCATTATTTGATTAGATTACAAATAAGCATCCACAATTGTACTGCCTCGTTTAAAGCTCCACAATCTAATTTTTCCGTTTAACCATGAAGTCCGTTGAACCATGAAGTCCCACGACATGCTGTCTCCATCCTATAAGAAATCTTTTGCACAGTTGTAAGGCGACAAACTGATTTACTATTCTTTACCTCTCTTTTCTGACTGATGCACCGAGCCAAAGCAATTTCCAAGTCTGTGACTTCCTGATACTTATGTGGCAATAAAAATGATTCTGATTCTGATTCTAATTTATGAACATTTTGAGTCATACTTTTATCTAAACTGTGTATTTAAAGGAGGATTTTCTACTTTCAGGTGGATCATCAAGACTATTGGTCCTCCCAATTGTCAAGAGAGTTTTTTTTTAAAAGTGGAGCGAGCGGTTCTTTCCATATAGGAGGATTTATATATGTGTGTGTGTATATATCCCTATATACTTTTAAAAATTTCGAGGAAAATAAAAAAGTTCATTTTTATTAGTTCCTGAGGCTCCTGCTCTTGTTTAAAAACGATTGTGATCTTTTCCTGATCTCACCCTCTCCTTCCCTTACTGCTCATAAAAGTAACAACAGGCCAATAATATGATAACAGAAAGATTACATTCAATTAAAAAGTGTTTCATATGCCATCATAAAGCAACAATGATATTTAACTGAACTTCTGTTTGTGTTGTACATATGTTTTATTGGGTTTAAAGGTTTTCTCACACTGATAGTTCTGTCTGAAAGAATCCGGTTCAACAGAATCAAACTCATCTTTACAACCTGAGATTTGCTGTTGTTTAAGCATGTGCAGAGTCATGGCTTTTGTAAATGTATTACATATTTGAAGTCTGGAATCTGTTCTTATTTACAATTCTACCTGTGTCTCTCTGTCCTAAGTAAAGCATTTATTTATTATTGTATTTTAGGGTAAAACGCTAGTTTACATCACTGTAATCTTGCACTTGCTGTAGCCTATAAAGATTTTTCAAATACTTCATCTTTAGCTCATACAGATTTGACTCTATTTTATATATATATATATATATATATATATATATATATATATATATATATACTCACTCACTCACATGCAAGCATTATAATTTTCCTAGCCTGGTCGTACCATACTAGTACAAATTACAGCGAAAGTAAAGATTGACTGGAGTGTACGGATGGCTATAATTTCCCCAGCTTTTCATATAGTTTTGAGTGCTTCCTATCAATCTCTCACTGTGTGTTGCAAATCTGAATTTTTCACATGCGCTCAGATTACAACAAAATATGCACAATCCAGTTACAGCCTAAATTTGTGGTTTTATCTCTAATGTAATGTCATCTATATAAAAGTGTCAAGCGTTCATATGGAGAAATGCCAATTCTTTGCAGAGCTCTAGACTGCAGAGCTTCCAACGAGGCACTAATGACAAATCCTGGCACTGCTTCGACTTTTCCGGTTCTGAACGTGTGGGGAGGGGGGCTTGACTGAAGTTTTATCCAATCAGAGCAGAGACCGAAGCCACAGGATCTAATCGCTGTCCCGCATCTCCGGACTGCGCTCTGGGTTTACGCGCTGCAGCCAAACCGCACCAGACGCACAGATCTCCGTCTCCTCTGCGTTTTAACTATACTCTCATCTTCACCATGAGGGAAATCGTGCACATCCAGGCCGGCCAGTGCGGGAACCAGATTGGTGCCAAGGTAAAAACACGTTGATTAGATTAAATATTTACTTTTGGTGTTTGGTTTAGCCATAAAGAACTATACGTTTCTTAAAAGACTACCCTTCACCAAAACAGCAGAGAGTAGAACAGTGCAAGTGACCATTTCATTATACTTTATAACTTTATAAACTCACTGTCATTCTCAAAGGCAAAGTTTTCAATACTAATGATTTGTAGTTTGTATTTTATATCGTTGAGTGTATATGTAACGCAACTTGAATGTTCTGAGGTAATCTCTGGACCCAAGCAGAGCAGAGATAAACAAGAAAAATGATACAGAGAATGTACTTTGAAGTAACTAGAAAAATATCAGAAAGGCTTACAATTTGCGCTTCACAAAGTTGTTATTTGAAAAGCCAGATACATTTTAGTGCCATACAACTAATGTTTCATCCTTTCTTGAGCAAATTGTTCCACACATACTTTCAATAACAAAGATTGAAGATTGGAACGAGAAGAATCCAACTTTCAATTTCAATTATTTTCAATGTATTCTTGTATTGCCCTAAATCACAATAGTAGTTATCGCCGAAGAATTTACACAATTCGCCAACACAGATCAGAGAATCAAACCGTTCGAACACAACAATTGAAATAGAAAAACACATTGGTATTGGTCCATAGGGGGCAGATGAACAATGTCCTTAAGTGTTGATAGTGTTTTCAAAGCTGAGATATCTGTTCTTAAAAATGCACTCTTCATGTGTCTCATAATGATAAAACAGTGTATGTAAACTGTATTGGCTTCATTTGATCTTTATCTGAGTCAAATCCAAAACTTAACTTACTTTTTATATTCTCAAGAAGCTGCATTTATGATTTTATTTTTTCTCGCTGATTTAAAAGTCCAACAGCACGAAGCCAAACCGTGAGTTCACCTTGAGTCAATATCATTTCTCATAACGTTTCCTAACTACTGGGTGATTCACTTTAATTCATGCAAAAAACAAACTAAAGAACTATAAATGCTTAATGAAGTTGCCCTTCTTTGAGTGTTGAAAGTTGAAAAGTTATTATACTGCTGGATTTCCCTCAAAAAGCATCAGTCAATGTGGAATGAAAAAGTGCTTTCTCTGAGCCCTGGTTGTGATTTAAATGCGTCTATAGCTGGACCGGGGTTGTGTCAGTCAGACTGCGGTGGATAATGAACCAGCTGCTGTCTCGGCGGCTGGGTTTGAGCTGCTCTTTGTCCCACGTGTGAAAGAAACTAAACATAAAGAGTTTGACGGAGATGCTGATGCGGGGGAAAGGCACGCAGCAGAGGGAGGAGGCGCCATGAAGCCAGCCGCTGTGTGACGCGCCCCGGACACGCACATTAGGTCGTTTCAATCTCTGGCCTTACACACACACACACACACACACACACACACACACACACACACACACACACACACACACACAGACACAAGTCAGCATGAGCACACAGACACAAGTCAAAAGAATACTCATAAATGCCAAAAGACATACAGAATCACAGTGCATTAAAAAGAATGAAGATACAATCCTTCAGTTGTAGCACAGCTAAACAGAACTGTTTTTGCAGAATAGTCAGAGAAGAAGCCTGTCTCACATTTTGAGGAAGACTGTTCCAAGTTTTGGCTGCGTAAATCAGAAATTCTGTGTCCCCTCCTGACTCCGGGCACAGCAGGAGACTAGTCCCTGTGATCCTCAGAGTCCCAGCAGGAGACCAGTCCCTGTGATCCTCCGAGTCCCAGCAGGAGACTAGTCCCTGTGCTCCTCAGAGTCCCAGCAGGAGACCAGTCCCTGTGCTCCTCAGAGTCCCAGCAGGAGGCCAGTCCCTGTGATCCTCCGAGTCCCAGCAGGAGACTAGTCCCTGTGCTCCTCAGAGTCAGAGTTGAATCATATGGCACTAACATGTCACAGATGTAGTTTGGTTCGAGGCCATGGAGAAGTCCTTAGAGCTTAAAGTCTTTTAATACATTATTATCAAATTGTGAAGAAAGAAAGTCTACATTACTTTGCATTTGGTTTGATCATGGATTTATCCACTGTATATTCTTTGAGAGACTTCTATTAGTCCTTTTTCTCTTCCTACTTCAGTCATTTTCAATCAAAGAAAAGTCTTTACTAGTTTGACTTTACTTTTATATCTTCAGAAAATGATTAAAGCACAATTTTGAACACACAATACACAATCTATATTATTTCATATCTTTACTTTTGCTTCTGAAAAGTCTCCTCCTTCCCTGGGAGTAGAATTTAAGCTAATTTAACCTTGGAAATTCTTATGACTCGTGTATTAACAAGCCCATATTTTCAGAAGCATAAAACAACTGTTGAATTACCTGCTAAACTAATCCAAGAGGTTTTATATTTCCAAAACATTTGCAGAAGTCTCAGTGACAGGGTTGGAGCAGCTTTGTCATAATGAGGCAAGATACATAAAAGTTTGCAGAGAACTTTAGTAATGACTGTTTTTGCCAATTACTCTCGATCTAGATCTGGAACTAAACCATTGTCCAAGTTTCGTTCCAGATCTAATCCCAGTTTAAATGTGGCGAGTGTAAAGTGTGAGCCGTGTCACAACTTTAGTGATCCATGATGAGAGATTCTATTTTCAGCTGATTTGAGAAAACAGGAAAAAGTATTGTATATTGTGGGGCTGTTTGTCCCGTGTGACTGCATGGTTTACCCATGACTGTTATAAACGATTAAACTTCACAGTCATATGAGGAACGCTGTGGTGGGGTCAGTCCTAAATGTGAGTTATTGTCTGTGCAGGATCATCATATTGGACTGGTGCATGAGGAGAGTTATAGCTGCCGTTTAAATACCGAATGTAGTGTTGATTTTACAGTCACAGACGCACACACACACACACACAGACACACACAGACACAGACGCACACACACAAACACACGTTAGGACTCAGCTGGTGGCCTGAGTCTTTTGGCATCGTGCCCCGTCAGGAATGAGCCGGCTGAGGAAACAGAATAATCACGATAATAATAACAATCATTTCTACAGCTTTGTACGATTTCCTAAAACTTTTGACGTCCGGCAAGAAAAACCCAAATCGGGCCATATTTTTAATGATTTCTTGAATACAAACTTGGAACTTTACTAATTTTTCTACCTATACTTTTATTATTAAATGTACATTTTTTTCTGTTTTCTTTTTCTCCTTTTTTTTTCTTCTATTTTACTTTTTCACTATTTTCATTTTATATTATTATTATTATTATTACTACTACTACTTATTTTTGAATTATGGCATTCTATTTGAATTCTAAAGGCAAAAACTCAAAAATAAAGAATTAAAAAAACTCATAAGAATCCCATCCGTCGGGACTGGCCTATTCGATGTCAGCCAAAAGAAATGGAAATGTGATCAAATAATAAACATATTATATTATATATTATATTTATTACTTTTATATAGGGACAATACATTAATATAGACAGGAGTAACTGATGTGACACAGAACACCCAGATACCTGTCATTTTTTATTCACCAAAGAAAATTAAATTTGATATTTTTTTGTGCTGAGATTGTTACCACTTATAATTAGAATGCATACATCACCAGAGGCCAAACATAACCCAAGGCCTCAGCTCCAAAGGGTTCTCCAACAGATTAGGTATAAATGTTAGATCAATAGATTTGTCAACACGCGTCTTTGAGAATATAGAGCGAAAAGATGAGGGGTTAAAACTATTTATGTAAAAAAAAAGACTAAGATGAAAATATCCTTTATTCGTTCCCTTGTGGAGATTTTTTTTTGTTGCATCACAAGTTAAAGAACAGTAGGCATGAGCAGCACACAGCACAAGATAAGAGAATAATTAAGGTATATAGGAGGATTTTCAACTGCTACTATTCCCAATTGTCAATCATTCTGACGCTCATCCAATAAGACCAGAGAGTTTTGTTAAATCAGTGGAGAGGGCGGTTCTTTCCTAAAATGTGGGAAAAGTACATGAAGATTGGAAAATGTTGCATTGGATCTGAGTTCAAGACATTTGACAACACAATAAAATACAATAAGCGACACAGAGACAGAAGGTGCAGGAAAGTGTGTGTGTGTGTGTGTGCCTGTGTGTGTGTGTGCGTGTGTGTAAATATGTGCATCTGCCTTAGGTTTATTTATTATATATTTCACCTACTGAGAGGTGATGGATTCACTCTTTATGTGTTAAACAACTAGGAACCATACTTACATGTAGTAGTAGTAGTAGTTTATTCGGTCAAGCATTGAAAAACAAAGTCAGAATTACAATATGATCAATTCACCTGATCCAGTACAAGGATGCAGATAGTTTCCATAGTAACACAAAATATTCCAAGCTGAAAAAAATACGGTACAAACTGATACAGTGTCAACAATGTCCTGTGACGACGAGTAACAAAAGGAAACACACAAAGGTCTAGCCAAGTTACAATATTCAAACCATTGTTCGGTATTTATCAAGATTGGGGTTTTATTATGTTTCTGTTTCTTTGTGTGGTTTCCAAGTGACTCCTGCTGTAAGTGTCCAGGTTCAAAGTATTTCAGGTTCAAAGTACTTAAGATACTCCTCCATCTGCTGCAGTGTACCTGTGACCTTATAATCAGTGCAAGTGGAAACACGCTGAGCCACCGACAGCAGTCACAGCCCGAGTCCCTCTTTCTCCACCAAAAAGTCCCAGCCATGCTTTTAGCGCTGCTCGTGACTGCAGGTAATCAGATGTTCTTTTGGAAAACAACACTCACTTCATCACAAGGTTCCTCTCTGAGTGTGAAACAAGCCTGAAGTCACAGAGACAGAACAGAGACGAGTCTTTATGCAGCGAGCCCCGGGACTAATGTGTAGAATCTGTGCAGAATCTTATGTATATCTGACCATACAAGCTTTAATATCATCTCAAAATCCTTCATTCATGGGTCACTGAGGCCGCCTGTTTAGTTTGACAATTACCCCCATTGAAACTAGGGGGAGAAAAACAAAAAGTGAGTGAATAGTTGTTGAGGTTAAAGCAGAGGTACCTGACTTTTTAACCAGAAATGAACCATTGTGAAAATAAAAATCCACATAACGGGTTTATTTTAGTTTTTATGTGTATGTATTGTATGTTTGGCCTCTGCAACATCTTCAGATCAGCTTTTTAAGACAGAAAAGTGAAAAAGGGAGGGATGAAATTTCTCCACTGTGAGACTAAGAAAGGTTTATCTTATCTTATCACCCTTACTCAGCCAATTAGCTCTCAGCCCAAAGAGTCAAATAGTGATTCACAGAGATTTTTTTTTTTACACTTATTTTTTACAATAATTCCAAAGATAAGATCATAAGGTGAAGACAGCATGTTGTGGTCTGTGTTGGGGAGAAAGGTTAGGTGCATAAGCTTTAAATGTATCTTGATTTTAGTGCACATTGTCTGCTTGAAACAAGGTTTACAGACGGAACAAGTAAAAATGAGCCTGACTGAAAATGTTCTTGTTCTTCTTGAAAATCTTGTTTTAAGCCAACAAAATGTATTACAATTATTTAAAGGCAATGTCATGTATGATCTGTTTTTCTCAGTCATTCTGAAGAGCCAAAAGTTACACCACCTAAAAGAAAAGTTGTACAAAAACATGTAAAAGTCTGGTTTGTGTTGATGATTCAGTGAAATAATCAGTGGTTGTTTGTGTTGTCAGTTCTGGGAGGTGATCAGTGACGAACACGGCATCGACCCCACAGGGACGTACCACGGAGACAGTGACCTGCAGCTGGACCGGATCAGTGTGTACTACAACGAGGCCACAGGTGAGACACGCACACACACATAATAAATATTGTTCGTTCCAATACACAACATAAAAAGTAGTGACAGAATCAAGGAACCAGTTTAATGGATTTTATTACAGAGCTGTTATTTTGATTCTCTGATATAATTGAAATGCATTTCATTGAATATACTGTGAAGGTCCAGCTGTATTTGATTTTTATTATAATAATTAAACTACATCCCACATATCACATATACCATGTCAGCCTATTGACAGACAATTTCACAATAAACACAAATCGTTTGTGTTGAAAGACGGTCAAGCTTTGAATCCATGCTCAAGAAAGAAACCTTTTGTCACCATCTAGTGGACAGTTCTAAATACTACACACATCTGATGAAAATCCCAAAGGACGTTTCACTCACCTTTTTATATTTACACATTTATACAACTTTCCCCCTCAACACATCAGGAGCTCGAACTCTCTTCAGAGCTTCAAATCACTGCTCAAACCCCACCTGTTCAAACTGCCTGACCAACCTGTTTATTTTAGCATGTTGTTGCTTCTTATAAAACTTGTCTCTTTTTAAAACGTCCAAAAAGCACTATATAAGCTCAATATATTATTATCAATATTGTATTATAGTCAGTAGAATAAATAACAAAACAGGCTTCAGTCTTATGCTAAATGTATAAAACAATCACAGACTGAGACAAGAGTAAGAGTTTACATCCTCTAGTGGCCACAGAGGGCACTACACATGCACTGAGGCTCAGTACTGTGCATTCTTGTTAATGAAATCATTATTGGTCTGTAAATGTGAACTAATTGCGTCTCTGTCTTTTTTAGGGGGTAAATATGTCCCCAGGGCTATCCTGGTGGATCTGGAGCCAGGCACCATGGACTCAGTGCGCTCGGGGCCCTTTGGACAAATCTTCAGACCTGACAACTTCGTCTTTGGTGAGAATATACAATACAGATATGCTGCAAATGTTTATTAGGGAAACCATCTTAGAGCCCCTATTATGTCCTATTCCCCCAATCACACGAGAGTGGTTGATGTGATAGAAACCTGAGTGATTGGTCTAATAACAGGGGTACAGATCTGATGCATCTTTGGGCTCCAGAAACTATAGAATAAGTTTAGGAGACGAGATAAAAATGTTTCTCTAAAGTTGTAGAGTAGTAAAAGGAGTGAGAGCTAATTGCCTTTTAACTTTTGAACCATAATCTAATTTTCTGGATTTCACCTGTAAGAACCGCACAGCTGAATAAATCCTTGTGTTCAGGACAAAGCGGTGCCGGGAACAACTGGGCCAAAGGACACTACACGGAGGGAGCCGAGCTGGTGGACTCGGTTCTGGACGTGGTTCGGAAGGAGGCAGAGAGCTGCGAGTGTCTGCAGGGCTTCCAGCTCACTCACTCCCTGGGAGGAGGCACCGGATCTGGGATGGGGACCCTCCTCATCAGCAAGATCCGCGAGGAGTATCCGGACCGCATCATGAACACCTTCAGCGTGGTGCCCTCTCCAAAAGTGAGACTTGAAACGTTTGAATGAGGGATTTTATGACATCACAGTATTCGGTTTGGATAAAATTACTATAATATCTTGATTAGTTGAGCTGCAAAGTGCATATAGTAGTAGAGTATAAATCCATATAGAGGGTTCTTATATAATAGCTTTTTTCACCTTTTTTAAATCCAATGGGGAAAATTTATTGGGATTTTGTCTACAACAAGAGTGGACTGTGAGGTGGGCTTTGCAGAGTCAAATTTCTGGAAACAAATGTAAATGCAGAAAAAATATCTTGACATAAAAGGAGCTTAAGGAACTTTAACCTAAGTTATCTTGCCCTGGGTTCAGTCACCGTTTATTTTGACGATTAAACAAGGGGTAACATTCAAACATCCAAAGTAAATTCTTCTGTCATTTTATTATTACAGCTGGTGCTAAACATAAATTCTGTAAATATACATTTTTATTTGGTCATTTAGATTGTCATGATGAGGACCATTAGCCAACAACCCAACAGGAAATCTCCTTAAAGCCACCAGGCAGGTGTGGTGGTTTAACTGTGGAGGAATGGTCAAAGAGCATTCCTCTTGATGGGGGCAATAAACTCCTTAATGGTACCCCACTTCCTAATATTGCTGTTGAAGCATTTTATTTTATGGTTATTTCCATGTGGCCGACGTGCATCCACAAACGCCTGCTGTTATTAAAATGGAATCAAGCAAAGGCTATAAAGATTCTCAGGTGCACACTTTAAAGCCCATTGATTTTCCAAAAGGAGTTTTTAGTTTCATTGTAAGTAAAGAGGTGGGAGGCAATAAAAATGTATAAAATTGACCTTAATAAAATGAAGTAACATATCTTATTGTGTAATTTTCTCATCCGTTGAGCCTCCCTTAAATTCCTCTTGCACCCTCTACCTCCATGAGCCCATTAAATCTGTGAGTGGTTTTTATGCCCAAAATGCTCCCAATATACCTTAAGTATTCCAGCAAAGCTCTATCTTAATTTGTTTTACTATTCAAAGAAACCCTAATAATCAGTCTAAGAACTCTTTAAGTCTGATTAAAAGATCAGTGTAAAACGATTTTCTAATCAACAAAATTAAAAGTATATTAATTTCATCCTTCCTCTGTGTAAAGATATAAAACTAAACTAAACTGTTTCAATAAAAGCTATTTCACTAAAACATGGATACATAAATCTCGTAAGTTTTGAATCTGTATTTGTAGAACCCTTTCATGCATTTTATCGTGGGTGAAAATGATTGTCAATAATTATTATCAGTGGGACAAGCCTGCGCGGCAACAGAGGACAGTTCACCGATCCCAAACAAAAAAGATCTCTAAGACAAGTGCCGACAGTGGCGATTATTTTTGATCACTTTGAATATGAACTACTACTAGCTACAGGAAAAAAGTCCTTACATGGAAAAGAGATAAACCTATCAACAGCGACTCGTGGCTGCACCCCCTCCTGGCAGTCCTGCACCACACAACCTCAGTCCTCGTTCTACAGCCTGAGTCCTCGATCTATAGCTTGTCCGTCTGTGGGAGCGGATCCCTCTCTCAATGTGGGCCTTCCCCAGTGGGGGAGGGTCCCAGCTCAAAAGTGGCCAAAATGACGTGCGCTGACATGCCTGCAATACCACCCCGGGCCGTTGGGGGTGGACCCAGAAGAAGAATTAGCCAATGCTAACATATAGCGTTGGCAGACCTCTCGAAAACGTCTTTACAGCATGGACCAAAAGTTGGCTCTTGGCCCAAAGCTCCGTTCCACATGTGTGTCAATGCTGAGGGGGGTGAATTTTTTTGGACCACTCTAATTTACTTGCTGTGAATTTTTGAAGTCTCTCGTTCAAATGAATGGAGCTGCGCTAGCTGACGCATGCGCAGATGCATTTTTTCACAATTTTCTTGTGGGCGGCACCACTCGCGGCCATCTTGGATTGCTCCATGAAAGCACTTTTCATGGCCACCTCCTATGAACGGCGGAGATAGGCGTGACTCTGTCCGTTAATATATACAGTCTATGGTCTTCCCGAGGTTTCTCACTCTTGTCCCACTGTTTTTTTAGTCGTTCAGGACAGCGATGATCCAGGACATTTATTTACATTCATGGACTAATGGCTCCTATGTGTTTGTTATTACTGTTTGATTCTCTGATCTGTTGTTGGTGGTTAGTCTTTCTCATTATTTTAGGCTATAGAAAATAGTGAAAATGTATCATAATAGTGAATCTGACCTGGATCTTGTGTTTCTCCCTCAGGTTTCCGACACGGTGGTGGAACCGTACAACGCCACGCTCTCCGTGCACCAGCTGGTGGAGAACACTGACGAAACCTACTGCATTGACAACGAGGCCCTGTACGACATCTGCTTCCGCACGCTCAAACTCACCACGCCCACGTACGGGGACCTCAACCACCTGGTGTCCGCCACCATGAGCGGGGTCACCACCTGCCTGCGCTTCCCCGGCCAGCTCAACGCCGACCTGCGCAAACTTGCCGTGAACATGGTCCCCTTCCCCCGGCTGCACTTCTTCATGCCTGGATTCGCCCCTTTGACCAGCAGGGGGAGCCAGCAGTACCGCGCGCTCACCGTCCCCGAGCTCACCCAGCAAGTGTTTGACGCCAAAAACATGATGGCGGCTTGCGACCCACGGCACGGACGCTACCTCACCGTGGCGGCTGTTTTCCGAGGGCGGATGTCTATGAAAGAGGTGGACGAGCAGATGCTACACGTGCAGAACAAAAACAGCAGCTACTTCGTGGAGTGGATCCCAAACAACGTGAAGACGGCGGTTTGCGATATTCCCCCGCGCGGGCTCAAAATGGCCGTCACGTTCATCGGAAACAGCACGGCGATCCAGGAACTGTTCAAGCGCATCTCGGAGCAGTTCACGGCCATGTTCCGGCGTAAGGCCTTCCTGCACTGGTACACGGGGGAAGGGATGGACGAGATGGAGTTCACAGAAGCAGAGAGCAACATGAACGACCTGGTGTCCGAGTACCAGCAGTACCAGGACGCCACCGCCGAGGAGGAGGGCGACTTCGAAGAGGAGGCAGAAGAAGACGCATAAAAAGACCAGAAAGAAGTGATAATAAAAATAATATCTACATCCATTTCCCATTTTCTTCTGCTTTATCCATTGCCGGCTCGCGGGGGTAGCAGTCAAAGCAGAGACGTCCAGACTTCCCTCTCCACACACACTTTCTCCAACTCATCTGAGGGAGTCCTGAGGCGTTTCCAGGCCCAGACACCTTCCCTCCAACATGGACGTATAATATTTTAAATAGTATGGGAGCAGAATGTGTTGTGTTAAAACTGGGGTACCTAACTTTTAAACCCTAAGGCAAGTTTATTTGTACGGCACAATTTATACAGAAGACCTCTCAAAGTTCTTCGCAAAACAAAACGATCACCCGAGGTATTAAGGCTCTGGATAAAGTGGAAGAAAATTGATGGGTGAAGTACAATGACCTACTTTCTTACTTCAAGTCAGCAAAAATGGTAAACCGGGCCCTTAACTTTAAGTATTTAACTTTTTATATTGGAAAGTTTTCTCCTCACGGTTAAACTGACACAAGCTGTATTTCCTGCTCTGAAAACATGAACTAAATTGTGTTTGGGACCTTCATCTCAATTTCAAAATTATAATCAAATGATGGTTATGAATTATTGTCTGCTGCAAAGAAAGTACTCAAACTAATGTTGAATTGGTAACTTTAAAATCCATCTTAATATTCTGAATTTCTGCAGTTTTATCTCAAATAGGCCTTACTATTGTTAGTGCAGAAGATGTGATGTCAGTTATGGAAAATGTATAAAAATGTGTGTTAAAAATGTGAAACGTGTGACCAAAATAATGAGCCGTGATTTGGCTATAAACTCCAAAACAAGCACTTGATGAATAATAGAAGATTACAGATAGATTTGACTGATTATTTTGTCGATAATTGTTCTTACAGATCAACACTGGATAAATGTGAATATTTAAAAAACTAGCATTCTCTTAGAGCCAGGTAGATAAAATAAGCATATTCCTCTCAATAACAATTTAGTAGCAATCTTAACTTTTCCAGATAGCTTTAGTTTTGTTTTGCTTCCTAGTGTGCATCATAATAATGTAATTTAAAGTTCTGTGTTAATTAAACAGTTGTAACAGCATGCTAATAAGTTACAACACATTCCCGAGCTAACGTTTGGATATCTGTGATTTGATTTTTGTTTGTTGTAATCAAGCTGCCACATAACGTCCTGCTTTCCTTTCTATTATTATTGACAATTGTGCACAGAATACTGCAGTGAATGTTTACACCTGGAGCCACGACAGTATCAAACACTGACGCCACTTTGTTTTCACATTTGCAAGTCAAATGTCTGTTTGTTTTTAAAAATCTGGAACTCCCAGCGATTGTGAACTGGTAAAAACATGACAATAAAAGTATTTACACTTGTTCATCACATTTCTTTGTGTTGATTGTACGACGAGATTAGATTGGGTTGATGTGAATGAGAGATGACATTTGGAAGTGAGAAATTGCACTATTGTCTGTGTTAAAGAGAAGGCTTTACTGTTTATTTTGTATTTTGTCTGTTGAATATTGATTTCATGCACGTTCACCCTGGAGGAGTGCAGTGCGTTTGTATTCTGACAGACTTTCTGTACTGAGCTCCCAGTCTGGTATTTACTTTATTATAGAGCCAAACCTTCAGATGTATTATTTTAGTTGCATCTCACACACTTTACCCAAAAGTCTTTCTGTGTTAGATTCATGGAATTTCAGCTTCCTGTTTCATGGAGCAATAGGAAAAGTTAAAATAAAAGCTGCCTTCCTCACCCATTTCAAACCATTAAACATTTTGTTCCAGGACTCTCTTGAAAAAGAGGTTCTTATTCTCAATGTGACTTTTCTGGTTATTCATTCATCCATTTTCTTCCCCTTAATCCATTTCTGGGTCGGGAGGGTGGCCAGAGATGCCACCCAGTACACAGAGCACCAGCCCCTCACTGATCCTCCTGCAAGTGGTGAGTCCACAGGAGCTGAGATCTTTCAGTGGGAGCTTCAGGCAAAGTGGGGTTAAGTGTCTTGCCCAAGGACACAACGACAGCAGTCATCAGTGGGAGTCGTGAAGTAGGTCTTACGGTGGGCTTGAACCCACGACCTTCAGGCTCAAACCAACTGAGCTACTGATTTACTGACTTTCTGATTTACTGATTTTCTGGTTATATAAAGGTTAAATAAATAAACAAGATAAAAGTAACCTTTCTCGTCCCAAAGTGAGCAAATGCTGAAAATAACCAACTAAGAAGATAAAGACACCATGTTTGTTTACATAATTTTACTTTTATGAGACTATTTATTGTGCACACAAGTGATTCTATTTTTTTACAATTAAAATCTTTTATTTTTGTACAATTCAAATCTTTCATTTTTGTACAATTCAAATCTTTTATCTTTGTACAATTGAAATATTTTATTTTGATTGGTGTTTTAAGCCCAATACTCGTATGCTACTCCATTTTAATATGACATTATTGTATAATTAATTTGTATTTATATACATTTCATATTTCATTGTTTTTTAGTTTATTAATTCATTTTTATCTGTGTTTTAGACTCAGGTGCTTTCTCCAGTGAAGCACTTTGAATTGCCTTGTACACGAATTGGGCTATACAAATAATAGATGGATTGATTGAAGACTATTATTATTAATTATGGAGGAAAAAAAGTTGGGTACCCCAGCTTAAATATTTTTATATATTTTTTTTTGTATTATCTTACGTTGCAACTCTAAATGGTAGAGTTATAAAAAGGCATCCTCCCCAGACCACGGCGGTCATCTCAGGTTAAACTGCACAGTCGCCTCTTTGGAACGACACTTGGCCACTGGTCGGAAATTACCGAAGATTCACGAGCGTTTCCGATCCCACACGCTCCACTAACCACCAGCATCCGAAAGTCTCCCGCTGATCCCGGTCTGTCTCCGCTCCGCTGCTGCCAGGCTTTGTGCTGCTGAAGAAAAGCCAAGAAACACTAAATATAAAAGAGATAGGATTTTTTTTTTTTTAAATACAGAAATCATATCAGTGCGCCCCTCCCAAAACCGCTGACTGTGTGATCCGAGGCTTGGCGAAGGTAATTACATGTACCACACTTTTCATTTGATTAGATCGTGCTGTATTTGACTCTGTGTTGAACTGTTTGGCTAAAACTGGGGCGTATCGGGTTAAATCTTGCAGTTTGGTTCGCTGTTTGGCTTGTTCGCGTCTGGTGCGCGTATCCAAGACGCATTTGCCCATACACTTGGAGCATATCATTCCTGGCATCTTCACACAAAAACCCCCGACGTGACATGTTTTTACGTTTCGAAAGCTGTGCAAGGATAACGGCACTTACTTCACGCTTGTGTAATATTTTATTATAGCCTAATTGGTTATACCCATAAATTCTCATAGCGGTCTATTGTTAAAACCAGTGAATCGTTTTTCCTTTTATTTTTTTTAAAGGGGTTGCCTATTTTTTCTATTTTCCTCTCCCCGCTGGTGCAATGGGATATTCCTGCCTGTTCTGGAACATCCCTTCTTGGGAGAAAAAAAAAAAAAGGAAAATACGCATTGCTTTAGGCCATATCTAACCAGCTCATGGCGAAGTCGCTGACTAAGTATTTGCCACAGTGGCTGTTACAGTATGTCAACGTGGGGGCCTTTTTTAATTGATGTCACCAGGCCACTATGTGAGGCTTTTGTTCAAAGGGATGACTATACTATGATTGATATATGATTGTATAGGTCAAAACATCCACTCACCTAATTGATGTCTTGACCTATTACTGGAATTGAATGTGTATAAATGTTCTTTTGATAATAGAAGACATTTTTTATGAGCTTACATCATGCTTCTGTGGATTCTGTTTTAGTGGAGAGCTGTTAGTGTGTTGCCGTTCTCTCTCTCCATCTCCTCCTCTCACATCTCAAAAAAGAGTTCCCTCTTACAGCTTCATTCATACTGGTTGTGACACACCCTTGGCTGCACCAGGCAGGCTTTATGATCTTCGCCTGCATAGTACTGAGGAGGGGGAGATGGGAGAAGTGAAAGTGCAGAAGGAGCAGCAGCAGCAGCAGCAGCAGGGACTTCGATCTGCTCGCTGCTATTGATTCGAGAGAACCCACTGCCATTGACAAACGACCCCACAGACAAGACCGGCACAAAAGCATCCGTAACATAAATTTTGCGTTGGAAATACAAGGTGTTTTATGGTGGGTTTGAATAATACTGACACAGACATTCAGGCAATGCTCTGCAGAAGCTAAACACCAAACACAGCTGACATTTAGAGATTCTTTATGTGTCCCATGGGGAAAAGTCAGTGTTATATCACAGGTTGCAGGACTGTAGCCCATTACACAGGAAGTGAATATAAAGCACAATTGTATGCTTGAAAAATTAAATGCTTTGCGTAATAAAATATCTCCAATATAGGCATCAACATGGAACATTTCAGTACATTATTCATGCATTTGTAAAGTATTGTTTTGGATTCACACTTTCGGTTTTTAACATGAAAAGGTAAATATTTGCTAAATATGTTTGTATTTTACCAATGATAATGGGGCTATTTACTGCCATGTTTTAGAATGTGCTAAAGAACTTCAGTAGAAAATATCTTGTGATACAAGAAGGCTGAATAATGCAATCGGCCTACTCCATCCCTATGCTTCCACATCCCTATGTGTTGTTCTTTTTGAAAATTACCAGCTGCAACAGCAGCCATGTAATTGTAAAGAATGTAATTTCACGTGAGAAATTGCCGATTCTAATTTTGGAGTTATATATAGTTTCTAAAGTCGGAAAACTGCTCTCAGTATGATGTCATAGTGGTACAATGACATCATACTGTTATAGGACTGAGACAAGAGCTTTTAGAGAGAAAGGGGTGTGGTGCAGAAGTTTGTGATATTGTGGATGGATCTAAAAACAGCCCCAGGTTTGAGAGACGGGAACATGGCTAAAAGCTCAACAAGGTAAATTGTGTATTGTATGTCTCTGTTAAAGCTCACTATTTCTCTGCAATGAGACAAACATTGTACTGTGCTTAATAAAACCAAAAGTGCAAAAGACCCGTAGATGATTAGAGAAACAGACTCATTATAGCCTCTTCATACTTTGAAAATACCTTTAACTGAAGAATAAAACTATACTGTAAAATCATACTGTACCATTCATCATAAATACCCTTTCTAAATAAGTACACTGTACAAGATTAACAGTAGGGATGTTGTATTTTCTGACTACTTGATTCTGGGATGTGCTGCTTTTGTTTAATAAGACTGAAAACCAATGTCTACCAGAGCCACAGTGACCTGCTATTTCAGCAGTTAGTCAGTCATTTAAGTTAATTACAGTTCTGCAGAGTGATCACAGAACCATGGAGAAAAGGTAATTATTGTTAGTGACGTTTTTGGTTCATTTCCAGTTGTTCTTGGCTAATTTTGTTAACATCAGTAATTTATGATTCTACTGACCTACATTAGTGATCAATGTCACAGAACGTGTAATGTTTCTCAGTTACATGTCGGACTATTGATTATTGATTCACATTGATTTAGTGTAGATTACGTTTATGAGGAGCCAGTAAAATTACGATTCATTTCAAGAAACAAGATTCTTTTGTCATAAAGAAGCCTGAGTGTGTCATCGGTTGTCTGTGTATTGTTTGAGTGTATGTTTGTTCTTATTTCGTTTTTTACATGTTCATATGATTTCTTATGACAAAAAAGAAATGGATAAGAATGGATACTAGTGCTGTACAAAGATTATTTTTTTAAATTGTGATTAATCGCATGAATGTCATAGTTAATTTGCAATTCATGGCAAATTAACCACAAGTTTGCATCTATTCTTTATGTCCCTTGTCAATGTGGAAAAATGAATCGGCTTACAGTGTGCACAAAGTAGTGTTATATTTCACTGATTCATTGATGCAAAATGTCAAACAATTCAATGCTGTCAACAAACAGATGTCTAACGTGTATAATTGGTAATAAAAAAGCCCCTTTAACTTCTAAGGGATCAAAAGTAGCAAAGTGCCAACTGTTTGTTCTTCACGATTCATAAGTTATTATCATAGAACCATGAATCCATGTGTTTTGACAAGAACGTGGCATAAGAGGAGAGTTTGCATCAGGTGGTGTTTCAGTGGATGTGCTTCAAAACACACAGATAACTTTGGTGTTGTCAGTCGACCCATCTGGCAACTCTTTGAAAGTATTTTTTTTTAATTCAGACACTTGTTCTAATGTTATTAACAGTGGCCACAGCTAAAAAAGTCAAACAAATCAATCGTGCAATTTAAAAAAAAAATGACGGCGTTAATATTGATTTGCGTTAACATGTTAAAAACACACTATTTTCGACAGCACTAATGGATACTCAGCAAAAAATGATACAATGTTACTTGAATGAATGCTTGAATCTCTTGTGGGCCCCAAGTCTGAGTGTATGTGTGCCTTGGGCCTGCTCCGTCCCCAGTATGGGTGGGTTTTCTCCAGGCGCTAAAGTTACTTCTCATGCACTTTCTCATGCATTTGGCGCCACAGTGGCTGAGTGGATAGCACTCTCGCCTCTCAGCAAGAAGGTCCTGGGTTCGAATCCCGGCCGGACCAGGGCCTTTCTGAGTGGAGTTTGCAGGTTCTCACTGTGTCTGCGTAGGTTTCCTCCGGGTACTCCGGTTTCCCCTACCACTAAAAATATGTACAATAGGTCTGGCATGCGCCTCCTGTTCGGCGACCCCACTCCTGTCTCTGTGTGGAGTGAGAGGACAATTGCCCAAAAAATAACAATTGTAAACCGCTTTGTAACTCTGGTCTGTGAAAGGCGGTATATAAATAAACCTTACTTACTTACATTTTTAAAAGATGGAAATCTTGTGTCATCCATCCACAAATAATGAGCAAGTTTTGTCCACTTTCCTAATTTAATTTATGGTCAAACATTTATGTAGCGCTACGTATCCGCGATGCGAGAGTGAGAGTTGGCATCTGTAACTATAGACTGTGTTATTGGACATGCACTTCCTCCTGATGCGAGAGACTCAGGAGCTGGGAGAGGCTCTTAGCTCTGTCAGTTTGGATGGATGTCATGCTGAGGAGACCACTCTGTCCAAGGCAAACGCTAGACTAACCACAAGAGTGTCGCGTCCACTTATAATGGCCCAGGAGATGAGAGGATAACAAAGCCTTTTAATTAGGATTTAGAAGTGGATGCAGCTATAGTCAAGGGGACATACAGTATGTTAAAGTACATTGTGATGAATAATATATAACCGTAACCTAGAAAATAAAATATCATCATGGGAGCTGCTGTACATCTCTTTTATGGTTTGGGTTAGTGCTGATATGTGTTATTATTATATGTTATTATTACCCATAAACAAAACTACATTGAGGTTGGCATGAGGTTGACGTCACTTTACACTTTTGGAGGCAAAGCTGTGGCATATTCCAGCTATTTTTTCTCTTTTTTTTTTACTTTGCCAGCTGAGTTTGTTGTTCGTTAAGTTAAAATTTGACAAACAAAAATCAATACAAACAGGCGTTGGATGAGAAAAGAGGAGGGAGTGGGTTGACTTGATGAGGCTAATGTTATGCTAACGTGATGCTAATGTTATGCTTAGGCAACAGCTGTTTTGTTTAGAGTGGTTTAACTAACACGGATGGCTCGTACAACAAAGGAGAGGACAGAAAAGTGTTGGAGGAGTATTAGTTATATTATGAAAACAGAATTAAGCAGATACTGTAAGTTCTCATTTTGCTACGATATTCACCAACTAACATGGTGTAATGTCGGCTAAAATAGAGCACACAGCTGTACAGAACATCATTTGATTGTAGGCCAAATAGCAAGGAGCAGTTGGACCAATGGTTTCTGGTAAGACAAAGCAATTGATACACAGGTCACAAGAAAGTAAAGCTACAAGCCACACATCAGCACGATAGACAGTATGTAGATGGACAATCCTAACCCCCGAGCCCAACGTAGCCCAATAGGGAAGAGCTCATGGATAAGGTTTATCTCCAACTCGCTCTGGCTCCTATTGACTCACATTGAAAAGTAAACTCCTCAAGCTCAGCAAACTT